AATTGGTGAGTCTAAATTGTCTGTAGGTGTAAATGTGAGTGTGAATGGTTGTCTGTCTCTGTGTGTTAGCCCTGCCTCTCGCCCAGTGTCAGCTGGGATAGGCTCCAGCCCCCTGCAACCCTTAACTGGATAAGCGGTGATGGAAAATGAATGAATGAATGAATGATTTTGGTGTAAAATTTTGCACCAGGAGCAGGATGTGAAATAATCTCAAAAGGAATTTAGTGACTGTCTTGCAAATAGTGACTCTGCAAGAGAAAATTTTAAAATGTGTGACTAAAAATTCACATTGTCTTCAGATGTGAGAGGCTGTCAGACCAGTCTTTCAAAAGTCTTTTCTTAGTCTTCTAGCTTATGGTAAACATTCGAAAAAAATGAAGAAAAATTTTGATTTGTAACTTGTGGAGGTTTTTCAGATTTCATTGCCATAAACTCATCATTTTGACATCATATGTTTATCTTGCAAGCAATTGTAATTAGCAGTATGATCTTTATTCAGTCAATGAGTATGCAGTCTCCCCATTACAATTACAGACTAACATAGAATTCACCTTTTCTGGAGAATTGGGACAAGTCATGTCTACCAGAAAAAGCCTTCCAATTATCAACACATTTAATTCTGTCTTTATGAATGAATATTTCTTTAAAGGATTTATTTATAAGAAATATGATTTATAAAATATTTTGATCTGCCTACATTTCTTTAACTGTGACAGAAAACCTCGTCCCAGAGAAGAATTCACAACTTCAAACAATTAAAAATGTGTTAAAAGCCTTCAAAATCTAAAACTAATACTACATACTGATGACAGTATAAAAATGTACTGCAATAATCATCTTTGTTTTAAAATGTTTTTTTGTGAAAACGTTGGCCCTTTAAAGATGTGTCCTAGATTTTTGTCAACTCTGTCAGATTTCTATAAAAACATAATTCAACCGGGCATAAAAGGAGTTCGCTATACCACAAGGACTCCTGTCTCGCTTCATGGTTTCCAAAAAGGTGGGAGTGTTCCTCAAGCACTGATAAGCTTTCTATTTTTTGATAAGCTCATTCTATAATTTTGCTAAGTGGAGCATCTCAACCACGACAGGTCAGCTTTGCAGCCCTTCTTAACCCAAAGTAAATAAGAATTATGGTTTAAAAGTGAGTATTTTGATAAGCATTAAGAACTCTTAGCAACTACTTGTCATCTTTGTCAGATCTTTCCTCTGACACCCATTGTGTATGCTACTCAAAAAAGTTCAATCACTGGGAGGCCGGCCCATTACAAGATTTAATAGTCAAGACTTTGGTCTTTTAAATATATTTTACCGGGATAATTGAAGAGTAAAAAATCAAAAACCCAAAAAATTAAGGTTTTATTCCAATTCACAAGAATGTGAGTGAGTTATTATCTATTTGACCCATCACATGTCAAAGGTTCTCATTTTCAATTGTGTATAAAGAGGATATTACATCTGAAAATGGTTTGGGACTGTCCATTTGTCACTGAGCAGTCTACAGCTAAAAAGCCAAAAAGTTGTTTTAATATGATGTCTTGCACGAATGATGGTTTAGTTTTCCAGCCACTGATTGTGCTTTTGGAGAATATTTCCCCAACATAATCAAGTTTATACAATCATACCGACAGATCAATATTTTTAGTTAATATCACAAATACCAGATTACTACGTCTGTCCATTTTCATTGTCCCTTTTCCTAGTTAAAATAGAATAACCCACACGACCATCTTAGGTCTGTGATAAATAATTTGATGCAGCCACAAGTCTGCTGAGAGACTCCTTCTGAAAATTACTGAGCCGATTTAAAAGCCTGTCCAGATTACATATTTGTTTTCCACAGGTTAACGTCTTGCCTTTTGCTCTTTATTATTAGCTATACGTGATTGCCATCTTGTGGCAGTAGGTGACATTGCATTTAAAAATACTACCATGCATATTCACATGTGCCCATATTCCCAAGAAGTCTAAATTAACAGGAATTAGTGCTTATTGCTTTTCTGTGAAAAGAACATCTGCTGCTAAATTATACAGATCGTGCTCTACAAGTTGTTGACACTGACTGTGTAAATAAAACCTGACAAGTCAGTCACTGTAATCAATTTTGAAACACCTTCTATACACACATTAAATTGACAATATGAAGGTGTATACACAGCCTGACCCTCCCTCTCCCCTCTGCTTACACTGACTGATGGTGATACATAATTCATATCTAATCAATACTGCACTGGTTGCCAATGAAAAGCTTTTAATCTTTCTTGATATTCATATTCTATAAGGGCACAAAAATGGCCCAATTTGAAGACGGGTAATATTAGCAGAAGCTGCTGCCCGCTGGTTCCCTCCTAATATTTAAGTGTAGCCTTCAAAGCTTGTATTGATTGCTTCCCAGCCTCTGGGCCAACACACCAGCATAACAGACTCTGGAGCACAGAGCTGGATCAAACTGGGTGGTACATACATGCCTGAGGTAATATGTGAGTGCGTGCATGTCCAGACCGTGTCTGGACTGTCAATTAACGTTTCATATGTTTTTCTAATTGTCAAGAGTTTTGTGTCTTAACTTCTATTTTCTTGTTGCCTCTCTTCTTCAGATGCCAGTGTGTTTGTTTGCTTTTTTTAGTCTTTCATCTGGTCACATGCTCTCCTCTCTTCCCTCTCTAGCTTTGACATGTTTGTTGACTTTCCTCAAAATGCTCCCTACGGAGAGAACAGCTATTCCAGTCACACCCCTGCTTAGAGACAGGGAGAGAGACAGCGAGAGGCACGGGAAAAAAGAAGAGGGAAAAGGACTGAGAGAGAGATGAGATAGAGGAAGAGAGAGGCACACGGGAGGGGTGTGTAGAGAGAGATAGAAAAGGGAGAGCCCACAGACAGTAAGAGAGCAGTTTCATTCCCCTGAGAACTAATTATACCATTACCACAGAGCTCAGTTCAAGGCCACTTTAAAAATCTAATGTTGCGACTCTTTTCTCACGCACTTTCTCTGCAACCGCAGACAAAACACACACAGCTTCTCCACATGCATTCCATGCTGCCATCTAGTGTGGAGCATGGAGTATAAAGGCATTTACAGAGAAAGTGATTAGAGCATTTATGGGAATGGTGAGATCCGTTACTGTTGGCACACCTCCCTGTGTATGCAGTACTTCAGCTGTATATTACTGTGCTGAAGAATGTTACTGTAGCTGATAGCTAAACATGAGTTTGTTTTTTATGTGGAACGATGTCATAGGCAAAGCAGATATCTACTAGAGGTGCGGACACAAGTCACGTGACTTGGACTCAAGTCAGACTCAAGTCACAAATTTGATTACTTTAGACCCAACTTGAAAATATTGAAAAAATACTTGTAACTTGACTTGGGCTTTATCATCAATTACTTGTGACTTCACTTGGATTTAAACCTTTTCACTTGAAAATGTTTGATAATTTTCCCCAAGCCCAAAGATATAAAAAGTAGGCAACGTCATATAAAGCGAAGGGCCAGTTAAAGTAACTTTGAAACAAAGCAGTAGTGATGGCCTCATGAAGCCTCATGAATCATTTTCTTTATTTTCTGAGCCCACTAGATGGCGCTTTTTCTTCAACAAAAGGTTTAAAACACACTAGATTTCCATTCTTTTAGCCTCTTTCTTTAAACCAAGAGAGCCATCTAGTGGGCTCAGAAAATAAAGAAAATGCTTCATGAGGCTTCATTCTGCCATCACTACTAAGCACTAATTAAAACAGTGGAGTGGTTCAAAAGCCAAGTCAGACAGATCATAAACTCATCACATCTGATCATCCTCTTTTTCAAACTTCAACAATAGAAAATATTTAATTTTATCATTTCATTGTTCCACCTTTGTTTTAAAGACCATGCTCCGCCTCTTAAGGCTTAATTATTTTTGTAAATATCAAACAATGATGGTAGTCAATGTTAGGCAGCTGATGAAGATGTAAGCGAAGGTTGCCTCAGTACAACAGTATAATCACCTTCTCTCAGCCTTATCACAAAAATGAAAAAGGTAATGTGCTAAGTTGCTCAGTGCAGACCTTACATCTATAATCATAACCTATGTAAAAAGAAATAAACAAGACATGTGTCTGTCTTTCTCTGAAGAATAAAGATCTGTTGGAAAGACCATTGAGAATCCAGTTTAATGGGAACACGTTTTGACAGACGCTGCCTTGGGTTTAACATAGTAAAAAATATACAGTCCATCATACACACATCCATTATTACTCTTTAAAAATAATGGAATTACCTTTCAATGGCATTGTACTTTAAATGATTTCATGTGACAAATAAATTGATTGATGGACGATTAACTGAGTATTTCATTGCTTGCTTCCGTGCTTGATTGGTTGGTTGGTTACTTGAATGATAAATTAAATAGCTTGCTACACTGATCAGCCAAAACATTAAAACCACTGACAGGTGAAGTGAATAACATTAATCACCTTGCAGTGTTCTGCTGGGAAACCTTGGGTTCTGGCATTAATGCGGATGCCACTTGACACGCACCACCTACCCAAACACAGTTGCAGACCAAGTAGCCTCCTTCATGGCAATGGCAATCCCCAATGGCAGTAGCCCCCCTCAGCAGCACAATGCACCATGCCACATCACAAAAACTGCTCAGGAATGGCCTGAGGAGCATATCGAAGAGCTCAAGGCCTTAACCTGACCTCCAAATGTCCTGGATCCCAATCTGATCGAGTGTCTGTGGGACATACTTGTACCCCACCTCACAACCCACAGGACTCAAAGGATCCATCACCAACATCCGGGTGCCAGACAGCACAGGATGCCCCCCAGATGTCCTGTGTCCATGCCTCAACAGTTCCATCCATCTCTATCAGTCAACAGCAAAAAAAACAAAAGATCACTTGGCACTTTATTACTATAATATAATGTGTTCCTCTGAGGCTGCAGTCTCAATAATCACTTACCTTTGAAATTAGTTTTATGTTTTATTGAAACATACATGCAATACAATACAAGAGGGGAATCACTCTGATCTTAATAAGTGTGCAGCCATTGTTGTTGACTTCCTCCACCTCCTCTTCAGCCACTTATTGTAGGGTACAGTGCCTTCTGGGAGAATGAGTACAGACATAGCATTTACAGTCTCCATACTCTGCTGTCCTGTCTGGTCACAGGGAACCAGCCCTTGCTCCATGCATCGATCCATAGTCCGCTCATAGTGACAGAGAGGCCTCACAGTGATCATATGATTGTTGTTACTGTTTTCGTTGCCACAGCCTATGTGATTTTACTTTTTTGCCTTTAGCACGAGGGTGCTGCATATGAGTAGTATCAGCAAACAGCTGAGAGCAGCCAGAGTGATCACGACTGCCTTCATTGTCCTGATAAGAGTATTAGTGTCCTGAACCTGGACAACGTATTGGACCACAGTTTTACGGTGCACTCTACCCTTTACTGTCTCCACTGTCTCACAGGTGTAAATGCCAGAATCAGAAGAGGAGGGTGTGATGATGAGGCCCTGGCTGAGTACAGTGTGACGGGGAGCAGGAAGGAGGATGCTGTCAGAGAAGCGCCAGCTGATCGGGAGGTTTGTCTCAGGAGAACATGGGAGGAACTGCGCTGTCCCAGTGATGAGGTGGATGACAGCAGGTTTCTTTTTCACTGAGGAAGATATCAAACGTCCACACACATTCAGACTTGTTTAATTTCTAAGATTCTTTTAATATTCATCTCTCAGTACTACATTACGTAATGTAACATAGATTCTGTTTTTACTTTATTACACTCAAAGACAGAGTTGTTTTTCTCGTATGCTTACACAGTGAGCAAAGAATTCAAAAATGGGCAAAATTCTTGATGAACTGAAGTAAGGGGGGGGGGGGCATGTTTAACCACAGCAAAACTATATCAAAGCATCTGTTCACAAACTCCCACACAACTCATACAGTATAATCCAAGTCTCCTTTATTCAGTCGTATGTTCAGTACTTCCCAAACACGTGCAACTTTGCTAAAACCTCACCATTTATTATAGATATATTTTACCAATTTTCAACCAGGTTTGAACCATGACAATGTGAATAGTATGTGTGAATTAACTATGGTTAATATTTTTGACCAGAGCCCAGATCTCCCTGCTCTTCTCCCAGCTCAAAACTAGGCAGTGCTGATCAAATATAAACCAAGATTGTGTTACTGTATTGCCAATTTCTCTCTTAAAATGTCTTCAGATACATATTTTAGTGCACAGTTTAGGTGTATTGTGAGAGTTTATGAACAGAAAGTAAGTGCTGGGCTGAAGTTACTGAGATAAAACGGTAAAGCTAAGCAGTGCTGATTAAAAATGAACCAAGACTCTGTTACCATGTTGTCTATTTCTCACATAAAATGTTTTTAAAAATTTATAGACAACCCCTTTTTAATGAAAAGACCATCTTACCAGCTGTGAAATACTTTTAAAATTTAAAATACTAGTGACGTGTGCACAGAACAAATGCACACTCTGCCCAGGCACATTCAGGGCGTGCTACTCGTACTGTATATGAAAGTGTTTTAAAAAGTATGGTCTGATTAAAATACATGCGTTCGGAAAATACTGAGCATACGACTGGATAAATGAGATTTAGATTAGGCTACAGGAGTTTTGCAAGAGTTTGTAAACAAATGTTTTGATGTAGCTTTGCTGTTGTAAGCATGGACCCCATTTACTTCAATTCATCAAGACTTCTCTTTGTATTCTTTGTTTATCATGGAGTCATTTGAGACAAAGTTTTTTCCCCAGATGCAACGTAACAGTGTGAGTAATTAATATACAAATGATGATTTTGGGGGGTGAAGTATTCCTTTAATGCCTGGAGATGAAGAATAAGCCATATGATTGTTGTGTTTTCAGCTCTCCTAATTTCAAACATATTATGTTTACAGTATGAGCACATACTGAATGCTGAACTTACACTCAGAGATTGGGCACATCTGGATGTCTCCATCAGCCAAACTCTGAATCCTGCAAGAACAAAATCACCTCTTTCAAGTTTGAAGCTCCCAACACAGAATTACTGATGTTAAAAACAACATTCTTGAAAGTAAAGATCTTAAGAGATTTGACTTACATAGATCCAAGTAACATGCCAGCAACTGATGCACACTGGCCTCTGATCTTGTCCCAGCCACAGTATGGGTCTCTGGCAAGAAGGCAGTCATCGCATGATGTGTAGCGACTGCAGTCCCTTATATCAACTTGGACAGCAATGTCATTGGCACCACTGTACAGCTGGTTCTTTAGAAACAGAGTTCAAAACAGAGATTAGAGCTGCCTCCCTTTGAATTACAACACCCAAAAGATCAAGTAAGAAATAAAACTAAACTCTTGATGGATCAGGGTAATTTACCACATTGGATCTGAATTGGAAAAAAAACCACTAGTGACTTGAGTCTTACTGTTTTGGAGGAGAGCTGGAGAAAACTGACAGGCTGAGGAGTTTGAAACAGCTGCAGCTCCTCAATGATGCGGCCTTCCTCACCATCAAACTTCACAGCCTTCTGCAGCCAACCAGAATCTGCGGGAGAAGGATTAATCCAACGTGGAGTACATCTGGCAACACATCTCAGGTATGTTTTTGGCGTAAAAGTTAGTTGCATACCTGTGCCAATAAACATAACTTGATGCTGTCGTCCATCCAGTGATGTGACCTGGTCCACAACAATATTGGAAAACAGTGTCCCTGTGCGGACCAGCAGAGGCTTGCCAGCTATCGGTGTGACCACCCCCTCCATCAGAGGGTGGTTCTTCACAAACAGCAGGGTTTTGTCAGGGAGGTCCAGAGAGGTCATCACACCTTCAGCCCGCAGTTCATCGTTAATGCACTACGAAAACAAGACAGAAACAGATTGAATGATATCAAATGAGATTTAAATGATGAATAAGAGCGGCATCTAAATGTTTCTTTTGATGAAACAATAGTAATAATATCCCTAATAATGATGTGTTCTTTAAGGATGTGCTCACACGTAGAGGTTCAGTTCCTCAATCGATCCAATGCAAGGATGATACATTGTTTTAATTTTCCAGCTCGTCTGCTTTGCATTCTCAAAGGCAAACCTCAAATGGTCCAGAAATTGTAATCAAAAGCCACGTGGTGGAAATGTTATCCAATTATACAGTTGGTGGATAAAAGGAAAACAAACCACTCCCATTTTGTACCTGGATATCAAAAATCATGGAGCACCATCAGGTTTTGTTCATGTTCATGTTGTACGCATATCAGACTTTAAAAGATGCACATATAAATGTCTTGTAAGGTAATAAAGAATTTATAACGCAGGCATTTCAAGAAAGAGGCTCTGCCGTTAGAAGGTCTTATCACAGAAGACTAGGGCTACCCCTTGAAAGAGATTTGAATCATCAGTCAGAGACCCCTCAGTTGACTGAGATGTCTTCAAGCCAAGCAGCCTTTTTTTTTCTTTTTTTCTTCGGTCAATGTGCAGTTTCAGTCCCCATATTTAGCTGCTGAGTAAGCATTCCTCGCTGTTACACTGCTCTTTGGTACAGGCAGCTGCAGACACAGAGGCAGCTTCTTCTGCCTTCTTCTTAGAAGTGGTGATTTTACAGCTCACAGCAATTTAATACAACACAGTCCCTGGCTTTTCTTTGATATCTAGTGCAAAAAATGTTGCTGCACATTTCTGGTGTGTCATTAGCACAGTTAGCTTGTTTACTTTATTATGTGAGTGTCACTGTCACACTGAATGTCCCATTGGTCCCTGTTCAAACTCTTAAACTCTATATGGAAAAAAAAAGGAACAAGTAGTCGAATATTTGTAGTGAACAATCAAATCTGATTTGACTGACATAATTCTGTGATGGATACAGCCCTGCAGAAGACTGTTGGCTCCGATGAGATCGTACCACGATTTGTCCCCTGCCACTTGACATTTTGGTAGCAAATGCACAAAGAGGCTTCTAGTTCATCAAAATAGGAAAATGTTTTTTAAACAATGACCTGACACATAAAATGGTACACTTCCTGCTCCAGAGTTTGCCTGATAGTGTTCCAAGACCAGTCACCATCCGGCGTTCATGCCAACCAAAATGAAGTGCACCAAAGGACTCCCCAAATTGTCCTTGATTTGATACTTACTGAACCAGGGTGAGGGAACGGCTCCTCTCCTGTGTATGTATCCCAGCTCCCAGTATCCCTTTCAGTCAAAAACCTTCCGCTGAACACCAGGCTGATGTCTGAAAGCTTGTATGCACAGACAGCAGACCGGCTGCAAGGACCCAAAGACTCCCTGTGACAGATACAAAAACAATTTCCCGTTATTTCTATTCCTACTTAATGTATAACTTCTTCATATAGATTCTTTAAATAATTTCTATGTTATAATAGTGATCAGCTATGTACATCCAAAGCACTGAGGTATGTACTGTGGATACACTCAACTTACGAGTTGGAGGTGAAGGTGGCATAAAAGATGCTGTCCCTCCAGTTATTTTGGTTTTGGAGAAGGAAAGCATCCTGGACTAGGGCTGATGAGCCAGCATCGCCAAATGGACAGTCCAAACGGGCCTTCAAGAAAGAAGTCCACTTTCTCTGCAGGGTCCTTCTGCCCCCCAAGTCACTCTAAAACAACACATATTGATAGCATTTGCCTGTTTTACACTCGTTATGTTAAGCTAGTGCGGGAGTTTTAAGTCTCTGTATCAGATTACTTCAGAGACATACCTTACACATACGGGCAATCCTTGACACCTGGATGTTGCTGTGACGTTCCTCTACAGCGTTCTCAGTGAAGAACAAGAATACATTGTCGTCTTCACCGCCCTCACTGTTTTTGCTTGCTTCAGCGAGGCTTAAGGAAATCATGGTAGGCTCTGAAACCAAAACATTCAGAATATATTTTTAAAATTCATCCATCTGTCTTATTGCAACTTACGTTCGATAATTATGTTACTATACAAGTGTTCAGGTAAGAGCAGCTTACCGTTGAACCAGGAGTGTTTCATTTCAGTCTTGAGAGGGTTCGGTCCATGTCTCTGAAACACCAGTTCTGTGCCCAGAAAGTTGGCGGAAGCGGCAGAGTACAAAGTGTTTCCTGTCAAGTGCAGAAGAAAAAATGGTGAGTCATTATTGTTGTCAAAACTACTAACCATGCTTTATTTTTTCTGATTCAACTTTTGCAGGCAGATATCCATCTAAGGAGAGTAGCCATGACGAAACAGACATAAAGAAATAAAGTGCTAAGAAAGGTGTACTCACCATCCATAAGGGAAGCAAAGTGTTGGTAAGGGTCAAAGGGAACTTTCCCCCTGCCCACCTGCTTTTTTCCTTCCAGAGACAGTTTTCCATTTGTGAAAGTCTGTTGATGGAAACATTCATGTATGAGGTGCTCAAGTAATCCATCAGTTCCATTTTAAAAAATGAAACATGTTGGGAAATGTTCTTATACGCTTTCCTGTCAAGAGTTGGATAAGAAGACTGAAACCACTCTGACATCTGTATGTTAAATATGACGCTAAAGCCAACGGATGGTTATCTTAGCTTAGTTTATCTTAGCTTAGCACAAAGAGTCCAAACAGGTGGGAAATAGTTAGCCTGGCTTTTTCCAATGGTAACAATATCCACTTACTAGCACCTGTAAAGCTCCTTAGTTAACACTTTATTTCTTGTTTGTTTAATCCATGAGTGTAAAATCTGTTTCCAGTCTTTTACATTTGTACGTTTCATACGTATCATATCTACGTTTCTAAAGTGACATGTATGAGTTGAGTTTCTTATCAGAGGGAGAGGATTAGGCCCCAATCACAAAGAAAGTGTTATGAAGTTGCAAAAAGTGTGGCGCACCTCACTGCCTTATTCATTTATTTATTTATTTTTTCAAATTGAATGCCACTGGAAAAAAATGCTAACTAGTAGCTAGTTCCTAAAATGGGCAGGCAGAGGGTACTTGCTGCAGATCTGGTTGATGGTGAGGGGCTGTCAGTAAATAGTCTGTTGGGCACAGGAAAATGGAGATCTGTGTTGGTACCCGGTATCAGAGACCCTTAAAGAGAGGGTGAATCACAGGGAGTACCACCTGTTGGTCCAGGAGCCAGGCATATTTTAGGATGACACTGGTGCAGTTTGACAACCTGCTGTCTATCGTTGGGCTGTATAGCTCTGGGTATCCAGCAACCGCAACCAAACTGCAGTTTCTCTTCCACTGTTTACCAACCTTAAACTTGTTTTCATGACTACCACAAAAGGCCGGCCTCTAAAATCATCCGACTGGACAATTAAAAAAAAACAGAGATGACATGGTGCTTTTCTGTTCTGAGTTGAAGTTTTTTCAACTCATGGAGTTCAGAGCACTCTGGCAAAAATGCCAGGGGCTTTTAACAGAGAAATGCGAGGTACATAGCACCGCAAAAACAGTGAGCAAAAGCTTAATTCTAATTAAAAACAATAACAAAAAGCTGCCTCTACCTGCTAAAATGCTTTCTGTGATTGGGACAGCAGCTGTCTTTAGAAATACAGTATTTGGTATCTCTGTAGACTTAAATAAAGTGACTTACCATGTAGTCACATGTAGGGTTGAAAGCGTTCGTCCCACACACCAGCATTTTACCATCGTCCATTGTGTGTAGAGTCCGGATGAAGTTATCACATTCCTGTTGGAAGAATAAATGTGATTAACATGAATGAAACTTTATACTGTGAGCTGTGTCTGATGGTAAACTTGCACTAATAACTGATGACATTCACTAATAATTCACTATACCTTAGTGTCCTTTCCCTTCCTTTGACAAAGGGATCTGTCTGCTGAACTGACCATCCATTTGGCCTGGAAGAAAGATAGTTAGGGATGAGCAACTGACACTGTCAGTGGGGATATAAAGGATTCTGAAGATATTCGCAAATCATTCTGATGGCTTATTTTCACACCAAAAACTGAATATGTATTATATTTCAAAGTATGTGTTATATGTTGTTTACTGGAAAATCTTCCTCTATATGTGTTTGAGCATGTGAAAATTCAATTCATTGTTACTCATTCACCTAAATGAGGAAAGCTTCTTTTTCAGTGTGTCAGGTACAGCAGCCCAGTCAGTCAGCCCAAACAAAATCTTACCTCACTTGTCTTTTTGGTGATGTCATCCAAGCTGAGGGTGAGCACTTTCCCTCTGGCTCCGACGACAAGCTGGCCGACATCCTCTCTTATCATCAAAGAGCTCAAGCTGCCAAAACCAGGCTCTTTGAACTGTTTCAAGTTTATGTCTGAAGCAGACAAACGACAAGAAGCTGGAGGTTACTCTCCAAATCAATGCATTTTCATGTCCAGTTATCCAGTGGGATTTTTTCATACTGTCTTTGTAGTGTTTTTGGCTGATGCTGCATGCTGTATGTAAAGACTGTGCACAGTCTACTGTTGATGTAATGATACAGTCTCATTATTTTCCTCAAAGTGCCATCTGTAGTCTAAATGTTCATCCAACCCAACTGCCAAATAAATGTTGGCACTGTATGTTTCTGCAGACCATGGATATGTTAAATTTGTACATTTATTATGTAAAGAATATGTTGAAATATTACTTTTCTTTATGTTATGATTTTCAATTTTACGTTGTGATAACACTGTGGTAACATATGGTTAAGTTTAGGCACAAAACCACTAGCTTTAGGAAAACACTGTGTTCTGCCTTCAAATACACAACTTAGCCGCCACAAACACAGCTGGAAATATCCCGACCCGTCATTAAAAAATACTTGCTTTTGTTGGTTTTGAACGGTGGTATGGTGTCACGCCACCTAATGGGAAACTCAGCTAATATATAATCTGAACTATGTCATCATAGAAAGATTACTGAACGGGCCAAGGAGCACAAAGTATAAAGGGGGACCCTTGGCCCTCACCTGTAACATGTCACTCAAATAAACACATACTGACCGACAGGAGATTTAAAATGACCACAAAGACATGCAAAAGAACAGCAAAGAGACACAAAATAACTACAAAATGGGGAAAAAAGTCACTGCATTGCCTCAAAGACACACATTATGACTACAAAGACAGGCAAAACAACGACACACAACAAGGCTGAACAACTATAAAACTTGTGTGTCTTGCTTCTATGTCAGAGAGGCGGGAGGGCCCTTACAGATCTGTGCCCAGGGGCCCATTGTCTGACAATCCGCCCCTGCAAGCCATATGTGTGAACCTTATAAATGTCACATATCTGTGGTTTGCAGATACATACAATGGCAACATTTCATTCTGGCGGCTGGGCTGGTACATCTACATTCAATGCCTTACCTTGGAAGGAAACACTCCTGTGGGGTTTGCTGTTTGCTGCAAGGCCTTCACTCAGGATGAGGAGGAAATAAAAGAGCACCACAGGAGGTCTCATCATGGCCTATATAAGTCAGGGAAAACACACCAGTCTGGACCACGTCTCTTCATTTCTTTAAGATGTATTGGCAGAAAGTTAGCCAGATATTCACCATCATGCATGTTTTTGACTCAGCACAACAGCAATGATTTATTATAACCAGGAATGTAACTAAGTGTTGACTCAAGTACTGTAGATAAGGACAATTTTGAGGTACTTGTACTTCACTGGAGTATTTCCATTTTATGATAACTTATACTTCTGCTTTGCTACATTACAGTGGTAAGTATTGTCCTTTTTACCCAGATACATTTATCTGATAGCTTCAGTTAGGGGTTAGTTTGGAAATTACTAGTAACTAGTAACTTATGATGCGTTATTACAGGTTGATGCACCCAGCAATGTGTAAAGTCACTAAACAAGCTCCACCACCTTTACCAGCTGCAACATTAAAGTGATGAACACATGAATGCATCAATTATAATAATACAACAATATAAATATGATTCTGAAAAGGGCCGTTCTGCTGGAGAACTTTTACTTTTGTTTCTTTAATTATGCTTATACTTTTGTATTTTTACTCGAAGAAGAGTTAAAATGCAGGACTTTTACTTGTAACAGCGTATTTTTACATTGTAGTATTGCTACTTTACTTAAGTAAAGATTGGAGTATTAGGCTACTTTTTCTACCTCTGATCCTAACAGTGACTAAATGTCTCTGTGTCATTATCATTATTATTATTATCATTATGTCTCTTATCTCTTACCTGTGGTATAAATAGGTGTATTTGTTGCACAGAAGTCGATATTTGTCTTGTTTCCCCATCTTGTTTAACTGGCTTGTGATCCACGTTAGTGACAGCGAACCTGTGACGCCATGGCAACAGTGCCCGTGGTAGAGGACCATCCATAGGGGGCGCCACAAAAGGGGGTGGAAAAAAAAGGTTATCCTTTAGTATTTTTAACTAATAGGCTACTATTACCGCTATTATTTTTGAAATATTGAATAAGGCCACAACAACATAACTACATAGTAAATTCTCCTTAATAATAGAGAAGCCTTTCTTCCGGGTTCCTGCCGCCCCCGGCTCCCCTCCCCAGCTCCTTACACTTCACCTGCTCTCTGAGGGAGATGGGCGGGGTTATCTGATGTCATGTGACCCCTGAAATACGACGTACAGTACCGTTATCATGTCAAACCGACAAAATGTCTCTGGTGCCCACTCAACTACCACTACACCACTGAGAGGAGTGGATGTGGAGGGAAGGAACATGAAATCAGCAGGTGGAGAGCTAGTTGTCATTACCTCTAACCAGCCGGTAGCCACAACAAACAGCTCACGGAGGTTGCATTGATTTACATTGTGACGCGTTCAAGTTCTATTCAGTAAAAGTTACAATTGTAAAATGTTGCATTTGGTGAGAAACTTGAATAAATCCAGCTGTTTGAAGGAGAAATTTGTTGATGTTTCCACAGCACTATAAAGCAGACATTAGAGAGGGAATTATGATGTAGCCTATCACATACAGTGAAAAGGCTTTTTGCTTATTTTTTTAAAGATGTTTTTTTTATGTGAAAAAAGGTTATGTTAAAGGTTGTTTCAGAAATGTGTATCACTGAATTTTTGTGCTCATTCAAAGATAGTGTACTGTTCATGTTGAACTGTATATTTATTTTTAATAGTGTAGATTTCAGTGTTTCCTTGGTACAAAAGAAGAATAAATAACAAAAAACAAAATCTCTTTTGGCCTATGTTAAAATTGTTATTTTAGACATTGGTATCAGCAGCAGCCCAGAATTCCAAAATCGGTGCACCACTAGTTCAATTTAGAAAGTTATTTTTTATTATCATTTTACAATGTCATATATTATTGTGTATTCTTGTTGTTTATTCTTCTGAACTAGTTAATATGTAGCCTAATTCTTTTTTATTGATTATTGATTTATATGATTATTACAACACATGTACAACATATTACTTAAGCAAATTAGCACATATTTTTTTCTTAGTATTTTTGTTAGGTTGCATTTTGGTAATTAACAGGAAGTGCTTTAACTGCTGAGCTGCATTTTTTTTTTTCTTTAGGGGGGTGGGGGTTCCAAGGTCGCCCAGGGCACCAAATGTGCTAGGGCTGCCACTGCGATGGTAATACAAGGTTCTGAACCAAACATGCGTGCTGAACTATCTGAGATTCCTTGTAAGTAATTAAGGTTTGAAATATTTCAGCATACTTCAGCCCTCTTTTCTCAACACACTGTAATTACTGTGTCAAGCTTTCAAGGTTTGATAACATTATACATCATTATTTCTGTCACAGTTTTTTAGGTCTTCATTATACTCTGAGCAAAGATCTTAATGGAGGGAGTAATGTTTAATAACAATTCAGTCTAATATACTGAATTTATTTGGGTCAGCAATGGTTGTAGCCTGCTTATACAAGTAAAACTTATCAAAACACTAGTAAACTGATCTTAAAGCACAAGTTTTTACTTAAGAAAAATTGTATCTTTAAAGTATCTTTAAATTGTGGGATTTAGGCTACTTACACAGATGTGTGATGTTTGTGTTAGAAATTTCATTTTAGGGAGGTTTAGCAAACTCTCGATACAGTTACGAAAAACAGTTTATCAACTGTTCATTCAACCAACAGTAACAGTGATGATGATGTTAATTGCAAAACATTTCAAAACTGCTGATAAAAGCAAATGAAAATGTCCAGGCTTTTGGGTTGACCTCACCATGTTGCGACCCTGTGAATTTAGCTCCACTATTTCCTTCATCACTTCACCCTTGTGCTATGGAGGTCTTCAATCCAGCTACAGACTACAGCAATGAATCCCAGTTTGTCCCATTTTGGTGTCCTTACAACCTCAAACCACTAGAGGGAGCAGCTAAACTCTGATTTTTCCCAAGAAATTAAGACCTCTGCTATGACTGGAGTGTAAAATCATGACAAGGACAATGGGTTGTTGGTTTTGTTTTGTTTTTCTTTATAAAGGTTAATTTAACCTCAGTTTAAGATTCTGGTCTGGCAGTGCACAGAGGTGAGTCTCTGAGGAAGAAACGTTCTCTATGTAACCTATATAAATCTGAGAGACAAAACTTTCCTTAAGGGACCACTTTTCTAAAATTGAGTAAACTGGTGACATCTGCTAAAGTGACATATTTTATGGATATTTTATATTATATTCAAAGCATAGCAACAACAACAGTACAGAATGATTGATAACTTTACAATCAACCCAAAGAGTGAACACAATAACTGCAGGAAGTTTGTGGAAAACCAGTGATATGATGGCCCAGCTGTGCTGTAAGATATTAAAGCTTCTTTAAAATGTATTCTAAAAGTAATGGGCAACCAGTGCAGTGGTGCTAAAATTGGACTGATGTGACAGAACCTTCCAGATTTAGTTGATTGTTTGCTGAGTTCCATGTAAGCTGCAATTGTGAGACTGAGAGGGGGTTTAAACAGGTAAAAAGAGAATTACAGTAGTACAGGTGATTATAAAACTTGATTTGATTTCACCTAAATATTATTGAATATAAATATATTCATGTAAGTTTGTATTACCATGTTTTATGATGTGTTAGAGGCAGTGGTGTAAAGTAGTTACCGTAAAACTTCAATCAAAGGCCCAGTCCATTTTACTAGCCCAGTGTAGCTACACATTTTGACAAATAAAGGCCTGTCTCAATTAGGGGCCTGGTCTGGTTGCCAGGCAGTTCATTTTTTTTATGGAAGTTCTTTGGATGTATTAAACCGGGTTGTTGGCTACCTCAAATTTTGTGTCCATTCCTCAATTACTCTGTAAGTTATTCATATTCCTTTAGTCCGTAAGGGTCCTCAGATCAAAAGAATCAAAAGGGTTTTTCATAGAAATTAATCCAAGTTGTGAGTATTGTTTTAACAGGATAAAATGGTGTTGTGTCGGTATGCTGGGTGCTGTAATCCTCGAGTGCTGTATCTCTCTCTCTGTGATGAGCTGTCTGTCAGAGCTAGATCAAATTAATGATTCATAAGAGATATATTATCTGAAGCCTAATTTTAAACAAGAAATATTCATACTGGTTTAAACAAACCAGTATTGTATTATATTTCCCATCTTTGCTGAGCAACATTTTTGTGTGAAAGGAATTAAAGGCCTGTCCCATATAGACGCCGGTTTCAAATATAGGCCCATTGATTTCAGTGATTTAAGCAAATAAAAGCCGGGCTATTAATCAGAGCTTTATGGTATGATGGGCCCCAGTGCATGCTATTATGACAGATAGTGTACGCTATCGTGCACATATTGTCTCTTCACATGATCAGAGACTTGACATTGGATAACTTTAACATATGTATTACCTAGCAATCATCATTGCATGTGTGTATATCACAAAAAATACCAATGAAAATGAGAAATTATTAATTTGATTTAACAATTTAATAGTTTATTATAATTTATTTATAATAAGCATATACTTTAATTATATATGCTATACAAAAAAATAAAGAAAAGCATGATGGAGATGGGTTTGCATTTTTCAAGGGCGTATATAGCCAATGGCACAGTTTTCAATTTAATGACAGTCCTTCTTTGAAAACAGGCATATTCCCAAGGTGGCAGTCACTCAAATTATGTGTCCATTCCTCAGTTACTCTGTAAGTTATTCATATTCCTTTAGTCCGTAAGGGTCACAGCTGAGAATTTTTACAAAATTGTAACATTTAAAAGACAATATGAAAATGTGGACTATTCTCAAACATCAAGAATCTCAAGACATTTTTTCAGTATGTGATGCCCTTAATTATTCAATCATCTTAATATTTGTGGAGCTTTTTTAAAGATATCCAACAAAACACCGCCTCATTGTTTATTTCTTCCAACTTTAAAGTGCAATAAACATCATAAACTATTCAAGTGTGAATCAAGTTCATGTCCAAGCCACGCCCTCCGTACATGTCAACCGCGTGGCCCCGCCCCCTCCTGCATGCTCCGATATTATATATGGGCGTTGATTTCCGGTATTCGGTGTTTGGATTTTCAGGTTCCACGGAGTGCGTGTTATATGTGTGCGTGTTGTAATGTGTGTGTTGAGTGTGTGAGAGAGTTTGTAGTGTGGTTGTAAACGTTCCCAGCTCGGATACTGTCACCGCCTTGCACCGCAGGCAGGCGCCGTGTTCCTACATGCAAGTTACCGTCGCGGCTCCACAATCGTTGGCCAGCAATGACCGAGAGCCCCGCGACCAAGCCAGCCAACGGGGATGTGTGTCAGCGTGTGATGAACGGACTGAAGCTGGACAGAAACGGCTTGGTGAAGAGCCTCCACAGCTGCCATGAGCGGCAGCCCAAGCACCACTGCCACCCCGAGGAGGAGGAGGTGAGGCCCGGGATGGGACGGGAGAGGAGAGGCTGGTGAAGTCGGGGAAGCATCTATGAAGGTTGCTATGTGGACCCGGAAACACCCGGTCGATACTGTCACTGCTGTCATTTTCATTAGCTCGTGCGTGATTAGGAGGTGACACGGTAACAGCTTTCATACTGACCGAGTCATGCTGCTGATTATCTGACAGTTGTCATCGAGCTTCTTCTCTAAACACCAAACTCCGTTAAAAATACTCTACTTTAAAGAATTTTCGCTGATTTTTAATGTTATACACTTCCCCAAAACATTAATCAAAAGCTGTCTCTGAATCTTTACGGAACGCTGCTTAATTCGGCACAATCATATTTTCACCAAAAAATATCTGAATATATTAATATCTCAATTTTATGAATACTGCGCTCCACCGCCCCCTTAGCTGTTTAATAGGAGGGGGTTGTTTAAAAAAGGGCGGGTGACAACTTTGAAAGTTGACATTTCACCAAATTCTAACACTGTTCAGTGCATAATAAGTATGCCGAATTTAAGAAGAGATCTAGCTGTAGCACCATTTGATTTGATTACTCAAACTGGGGATGATGTAACTCATAACAATTTCAAAAAGGCTTTAAATCATGAAATATCAAATGATGCACTTACTAACCTTGGACAGGTCACATGTTTCTGCCTGGATGCATCCTTATCAGTTGAGGGTTAAGGTTAGTCTTAAGTCTTAGTCTTGTGTGTTAGTCTTAAGGGAGGTGGAGTGCGTTTTTTGTTTATACTTAATTGTGCAGACTGGCAACTCCTTTTGGTCTCAAATCAAACTATGAAATTCTGTTACATTACGGCTCATTTCAGGGTGTGTTTTTTGCCTGCAGTCTCAGGAGTGGCACATATTTGGCTGCAGGAGTTTGGAAAAATTCCATTTTCCTGAAGTGGGTAACTCCCTTTATAACTAAAAGAAACACTGAAGTGTTATGAGTTATGAAGTGTTAGTGATTAAGGAGACACTGAGCCAGTGCACCTGTTTAGTTAGAGCTGTCCACTGAGACTGCATGCATGCTGCGAAACAGCTTTTTCCTAAAAGGCTAATGAAATTTCCACTCTCGGGTGTGCCCTCTGTAATTGTCCCAATTAACAGATCCCCTCAGACAATGTGATGACATGCTGTCACACACACACACACACACACACACACACACACACACACACGAGCATTCAGACTCACGGATATGTTGTGATAGAGAGGTGTTTGGTCTGAATTTTGCACTGCTAATTAAAATGAAAAATGTAGAAACATTTTTTTAAATTGTCTTCAGACGTGTGTGTGTGTGTGTGTGTGTGTGTGTGTGTGTGTGTGTGTGTGTGTGTGTAGGGTTTTTTTTTTTTTAAAGGAATTTGGTTGCACAATCACCAGAAAACACAAAGTAACCCAGTTGGCCACCAACGTTATTATACATTGATATTTTATTGAATTTGGGTTGTGATGTCAGGTAACTTCAATTGGATGAAGAATACTGACGATAGATGACATTGAAATTTTGTTGGTTTAGGTTGTGTTCTTAAATAACCAAACTCCAACATCGTCCAAACATCGTCCAAACATCATCTTGACGTAAAATAAAGACATTCAGTAGTAAGGTATGAAGAACAAAACCGAACGTCTGCAAAACATCATAATATTAATGTCCACTCAATGTGAAATTCTAACATCATTAGACATTTAAAATATCATCAACCAGATTTTCATTCCAACCAAAATTGAACATCTGATGTAAAAGTCCAATGTTTTCTGACACCATATTGATGTCCAGTGGCAGCTAGGAAGATGCTAATAACTGGCGACTTAGTTGGTGGTTTAACATTTAGCAAAGAGACATTTTTCAAAACCAATTCTAGTTTGAGATGTAAAAGAAAAATAAAGATAGAAACACACTGTTGACAGGTTATTGTCACCACCTGACCTTTTGCTGGTGAAACATTCTGTTCTTCCTGTTTTAATAAACTGAGCTGGGACAGCTAAAAAAACTGAGTGCCTGGTGACTGGACCTCAGCTGATTACGGTTCATGCAGATGTCAGCGTTGCTGCTCTGTAAGGTATTTGAGAAAGAGGCATGACCGGTCACATGTAGTGCCTAATAGCCATGAGCACTGAAACTCGCATGATGGGAAGGCAAAATTACATAACGTGTGTGAGTGGTGAGTTTCTGTCTGGGAAACATGTTGACTTTTCTTTATATGCATGTAAAGCTTATTAATGCATAGTGGGTCTCTTAGTTCCAAGTACACAGATTCAACACAAGCAGCCCTTCCCTTATTTGGCAGTCAAATCCTCCTCTCTGGCATTTGTCACCCAGTGTTTTCTTTCCTGTACAGCTGGTGTACAGTTGCAGCAGAGCTAATACTTTCACATCTTCCCCCCACTTCCAATTTGACTTCATAGAAGTCGCCTTTAAGTGAGTTACAGAGACCTCGGCCAAGTATAACAAAAGATAAACTGTTTTGTTTTTTTCTCGTTAGGACAAAAGGAGAGGGAGTCACAGGAAGTCAGACGTGCATTTATATCAATGGTATTCCAAACGTGAAACTTTATTCCAGCCAAGGCATGAGTGCAATTTCTTACAGGCTAGACTTGTAAACATGGAGACAGTGTTAACTTGTGTGCTTTTCCTGCTGTGTTTGACTATGGCTTTTTTTCTCTTTGTAACTTGGTGTACATGAAACTGCCCTTGAACTATTTACTGAACCTGACAGCAAACAGATTACAGTGTTTACATGCAAGAATATACAGACTAAGGTTCCAAAAAATATATTAATAAATTATCTTTACATTTTGTTTTTGCTGATTTGAAAGACTTCAAAGATTGTGTATATTTTTAAGCTTTTCAGCTGTAAACATTTTGGGTTTTAACATGTGATATCCACAGTTTACATGTTTCAACATATAAAGTATATTGTTGTAGCCAAAATATAAAGAAATAATAATATGCACTGAATGACACTATTATTTTTCAGAAAATTAGATGACACCTGGCCAAATCAGATGAAAACTCCCCATGTCCATTTGCCAAAGGTTTGTCCTTGTCATTTAATATGATGTTTTGGTTTCCACGTTTCCCAGGTCCACGCAGCATCACATCATGGTGGCCTGTACATCCGACCCTTTCTTGAGTCCTTTGAGGAGACGCCGATGCTGGTGGCAGTGCTCACCTATATGGGCTACGGCATCCTGACCATCTTCGGCTACCTCCGAGACTTTCTGCGTCACTGGAAGATCGAAAGGTGTCACATCGCCAGGGAGAAGGAGGAACAGAGGGTGAGAGAAGCCGCAGACACAATATGGTGTTGTATTTATCTATTAACACATCCGGCTGTGACAGTGGTCGTGGTTTGATGCCTCCGTGCTGGCGATAGCTGTGGCTGGAGGTATTATGTTTTCAGGTTGTCTGTACGTCCGTATATACATCCCTCCCATTCTTCTGAACACAATATCTCAAGAACGCTTTGAGGGAATATTTTCAAATTTGGCACAACTGTCAACTTGGACTCAACCATGAACTGATTAGAATTGGGTGGTCAAAGGTCAAGGTCACTGTCTGTGACCTCATCAATTTCATTCTTATGAACGCGATATCACAAGAAGACCTTGAGGAAATTAACTCAAATTTGGCACAAATGTTGGCTTGTACTCAAGGATGAACTGATTAGAATTTGGTGGTCAGAGGTCAAGGTCACTGTCTGTGACCTCATCAATTTCATTCTTATGAACGCGATATCACAAGAAGACCTTGAGGTAATTAACTCAAATTTGGCACAAATGTTGGCTTGTACTCAAGGATGAACTGATTAGAATTTGATGGTCAAAGGTCAAGGTCACTGTGACCTCACAAAACATGTTTTGGCCACAACTCAAGAATTCATACACTAATTATGACAAAATTTCACAGAAATGTCTCATAGAATAAAATTTCAAAAAAGTTGTGACATTTTATATCCAGATGGTCAAAGGTTGAATCACTGTGACATCACTATGTTCTCAAAATGTTTCCCTGGCCGTTATTCGGTGTCATAACTCAGGAACAGAAGAGGAGACATTTGGTGACGTACTGAATTGGTGACACTAATCTGGGGTGTCCACCAGACATGGATGTAAACTGTAGACTTGACTGGTACGTGGATGCATACAACTGCAAGGCAATAATTCTAGTTTACACCCTGTTTTAGGGCTGGGTATCTGTACTCAATGCTTTTTTAAGGTGTCAACTGGAATAAACCAGTACCAAGTAGTATCAAAACTCCTCCAGTCAGAAGATACCTGCATTTGATCCTTTTTGTGCTTTAGACAAGAATGGTTATGATTTTGCTCACAGCCAATGACCACAAGCATGCTTCAATTTAATGTAAGGTGTGACTGACCCACTGCTGCAAATGTTCAAAAATATGCTGCACTACTCACCTGTGGTGTCTGCTGGCATTTTACACAACAGAATGCTTCTGCTCCAAGAAAAAAACGCAATCAAATGAAATACTCTTTGGTATCAGTATCACTTTAAGGGTACTAGTATGGTAAATATTAAAACAATACCCAGCCCTACCCTGTATCTTAGAAACAGTTTGTCTGTCATGAGCAACATGCTGTTATGGTTTCTAACAGCAGACACATGCATTGCAGTCAGCATACTTTGCCTATACTATAATGACTGGGATGTTACGATTGTTTTGGTTGCACAGTGACAACACTGTGAGGATAATTGCTGTTGAGGAAAAGAAGGCCAGATGGGTTTCAAGTGTTGACTGGAATTGATTTGAGCACTTGTTGCCTGGTGACTGGGCATTTGCCTCGTTCCTGTAGAAACAATAGAGATAACAAATGGAAAATTAGACTTGATCTGTTTGTTGTTTGTTAACCAAACTGAACCAAAGTGATATTTGCACACCACAATGCTTCACAACACTAGAAGCAATGGGTTCTCATATTTCAACCTTGGTGTATGGAGAAGAAGCATACATTTGGTAAACAAATCCTCATATCGTTAGAGGTAATCTTGTCAACCACAGTATTACAAACAGGAAATAGATTGCAAGAAAAGTCTTTGTGTATTTGCTGAAACATTCAGCAGTTCAGACAGGATTTAGTGTTCCTGGTTTATCATACGCAGACTCACTGAGTCTTGTATAATATTTAAAATGTTCCCAATAAGTTGTCATGGCTTTTCTTCACAATTCAGTGGAATGTGCACTTAAGATTGCATTTTTGTTAATTCACAGCTAATGGTGGCGTTATCAGCACATTTGGAACATGTCCTTGACCACTGAGATTGTTTTCAACCTGTTATGTAACTTTTGATAGTGAGGCCCATTGTTTTTAAGTATTTGGTTATGTTGAGGAAAGGAAGCTCGTGGGATAGACGTGAGGAAGTCATTAAATCACCCCAAGGATACCCCGCGGACGTTTCCTCTAAGAACCAAGGAAAATGAACTTCCTGAGTCATATATTGAAATTTAGAGATTATTTCTAGGGATTGAATTCCCTCGAGTTAAAGCTGGGATAGGAATAGAAACCTGGAAAATGGAAAAAAAAAAGCAGAATTTGAAAATGCACACGCCTTTGCAGTTCTCTTCTTGCCTCTTTGTCCTAAGCCCCTCCCACCAGATTATCACAGCATGTGTACACACTTCATACAGTCATCCAGTGTTTCCCATACATTGATTGATTTATTTAATCTTGTTTTATTGTTGACTTGCCTACAGCACATTTGCCAAGGCCCTTTTCGCCCCCCTTTCTCTCTCTGTTTATCAGACCACAAATAAGACAAGACGTGGCCATCAAGCCACAAAGAGATCAGGCAGCAGCTCAAGAATGGACCTTCAGCTGGTGGCTGTAGCAGCTAAAAATTGTTCAGTGAAAACCCCCCAGTACTAGGTGTCGCTGTGGTTTGATGGCCAGCTGCAGTCACGGGCCTAAACTGTGTAATGGCAGCAACAGAAAGTTTGTTAATCTGGCAAGAAGGCGGGGTTGTCCAAATCCCCAGGAGCTGGGGTTTGTGTTGGCTGAATTCACTAATTGGGGTCAGTTTTCGGGGCTGCTGCCCGCTCTCCTCCCAGCGACGTTGTCTGTAGCAGTGGGGAGTGAGGTGGGAGACATGGTAATGTTAGTAACATAAACGTAAACTTGAAGCTGCAGCCATGAGCCTTTGGCTCCAGTTAGCAGAAGGACAAACTATTAGCAACATTTTCTCTCCATCTGTGAAATACTTTACTGATATTGACACATGTTTTGTTTATTGTCAGACCCTCTTTTTGATAAGTCTGTCTACTTTTTTGGGTTGCTTTGCAGTGTAGGTAGTTGTTGCCAATGCTGGAATAGCAACTTTCTCTGCAAGATTTTCCACCATTGAATCAGGCTTTCACCATCTGAAGGGACGTGCATCTGCATTTGTAGAACAGCTAATAGGAACGCCCTCTTCCTGAAATGACCTGTGATTGGCCAAAGTCTCCCATCATGGGTCAAAATTTTTAAAGCCTGAAAACAGAGCCAAGAGGAGGTGCAGAAGTGTAGTTTTCTCTGAGACCATTTGAATTACAACATATTCAAATGTTATTATGGAATTTTTGCCTAATGACACCAAAATAAAACTGCTCACCCCGGCTTTAATCTTTCCAAATGCATGAATGGCATGTAGGTCTTTAAAGTTCATTGAAATTTGGTTTGGTTTTATACTCATAAAACAAGAATGACATTTCTACATTTTTTGCCACTCAGCTGATGCACCCGTTTCTACTCCTCCTCATCATGTTCTCTTTATCCACCCATGTGTAGGACTTTGTGCCGCTCTACCAGGATTTTGAGAACTTTTACACTAGAAACCTCTACATGCGTATAAGAGACAACTGGAACAGGCCCATATGCAGCGTACCAGGGGCCAAAATGGACCTGATGGAACGAGCCTCCCATGACTACAACTGGACTTTTAAGTGAGAAAGACATACCTTTCATTCAAGACTGTAAACACGAGGCATTCAGACACATGGGGCAGAGCAGGAGTAACAAAGGGAAGTGTGCTGTATGGTTAATGCCCCTGTCAAGGATTAGTATTGTCTGACCTCTCTCCTATGAATACCAAGACAAGTGAGACATTGTGTTAATTAGAAAAAAAGACTGGATAATGTTACTAATCTACAATGTAACTGAGCAGAATTATGAACCTTACGAACCTGCTAGCAGACAAGTTACAATTCCATGTTGTTAAGCTGGATGAAAGAGGAAACTGGCACTAAAGGGAAGTGCATCTTGAGCTTTAGATGTATAATATACCGGGGCTTGCAAATTAACTTTTTTATCAACCTGTCACCATGGCTGGAGGATTCCAAAATTTATCAGCCACCCAATAGACTACCATCATTTCTTTGCCTGGCAAGTGAAGCTTATCTTGCAGCCACTTGTATATTTTACCAGCATTTGGCAGGTGGCCATTGGTAATTTCCAACCCTGCCCTGTAGCAACATATCATCATATGTGTTGGTTTTACCATCCTGCCATTCCATGGGACTGTTTGTTTTTCCTGTGCCACCCAGTAAGTGTTGCCTGTCTGGCATCTACCATCTGCCTGAATGTCTGTGAAAACAGTATAGGTGTCCTGTAAGGGTTGGGGAAAAAATCAATTCAACATATTATTGCAATATTTTTGTTACACAAGACACCAAGTATCTGATTTTTTTTATTATATAAATGATTAATATTACAAATTAACTTTAAGTAGCCTACTAGAATTCTATAACCAGTTGCTTTTTCAGGTAACTAATTAATTTTATTTAATAAAACTATTGATGTTGACAAACTTTCCTTCTGGGACATAATTCGCAGTTAAAAAAGGTAATAAATCACAATAAATCATAATATATCGCAATATATTTTATCTCAATACTCAATATATTGCAACAGGTTTAAAATCGGTTTAGTATCCCACCCCTAGTGTACAGTACCCCAAAGTTTACTGTCATAGAAGACCAGCAGATGTTTACATTTGTGAATCCGAACTCAGAGTGTTTACTGAATTTACTTGACTTTTATTATTGAGTAATTTGGGTATGCATCTCTCCCAATACTACCAGTACTTCCAGTATCCTAATACTTATAAATAGATATCTGCATATGTATGCAGAATCTGTAGGCAATATTCTGCTATTGGAATCATTCTTGTTTTCGTTTGTAGTCCAAGTAGTATTGACCAGTTGCATTTAAGCGGCAGATAAACAGTCCATATGGAGAAACATTGCCAGTACGTGGACTCAGGGTATTGGCCAATACTGAGTACCAGCCAAATACAAGTGTTCTCTGGTTCCCAAATTTAAAATCTTTATACCTAACTACATTGAACACATTTGGACCTTCATTATGTAAAGTGCCATGAAGCCAGGCGTTGCTCTAAACCCTGAGTTGCAAATTTAAACACATCTCTTTGCAGATAAATAGGGCTCTAATCTATTCATTCTTCATATGTGACTGACATGACAGAGTGTGAACGCATTAAATCATTTTTAATTTGAAACTTGTGTTACATACTGTACTGTCAGTGACATGAACATCCCTCCAACCGAGCATTTTTATTTTGACTCCTGTCACTCGTGTTTGAAGGACAGCTGCATCAAACAGTAGGGCAGATGCCACTCGGTATTATAAAGGTTAAACAAAGAGGACTGTCATGCTGTGAAGCTTTTCACTTCACCTCAATCTAGCGTTTCATTAGCTGCACCAGTCATTATTAACTGTACCAGTAGACTTGCAAAACACATTAGCTTCCTGCCATTGATTGTTTCCTCATCTCCTTCTGTCTCTCTTCCAGTTACACAGGCCGGGTCTTGCCGGATGTGATTAACTTGGGCTCGTATAATTACCTCGGCTTCGCTGAGAACACGGGTCCATGTGCTGAGTCTGCAGCCGAGGTCACCATGAAGTACGGCGTCGGAGTTGCAAGCACCAGGCAGGAGATCGGTAGGAACACACGCCAAAACAAAGATACACCCACTACCTTTGATATCACTGGAGATGAACAGCAGGAATGCAGGGATGAATTCACCACAGTAAAGATGCCATCACAGACCAGTTTGTTTAGTGGTGCAGTGGGTGCATTCAACCTAAGCACACAATGCAACACAAATATCATTTGTTATCCTGGTTTAATTTCTCCTGTACGGAGGAGTCTTGGGACCACATTGAAGAAAAAAAATTTCTCAGATAATAGAGAGTTAAGTCATAACATTACGATAATAAAGTTGTAATTTTTTTGGAAAAAAATATTGTAATATTAGTAGAATAAAGTTCTAGTTGAAGGAGAATAAAGTCATACTATTTTAAGAAAAAAAGTCGTAATATTACAAAAACTTTACAAGAAAAAAGCCGTAATGTTATGTGACTAAACTCATAAATTAATACTCATTAAATTACAACTTTATTCCTGTTTTTTTATTTTGTTATAAAATCTCCAATTTTCTTCTCAAAGTGGCCTTAATACGTAGTTTTACTCCTACACAGCAAACGCTTTTGTTTTTTTAAATTAAATGCACGACACAACATTGGGGTGCCTCAGAAATGCATTTGGCTGATTTTATTACACTTGGACAGAGCCATGCTAGCTGATTTCCCCTATTTACAGTCTTTGTACTAAGCTAAGCTAACCTGCTTCTGGCTCCAGCTACTTTTAGCATACGCATACAGGAGTGGTGTCAGATTTCTTATCTAACCCTCAGCAAATGTCAAACTATTCCCTCAGCCTTTTAACTCCGGAAGGTTTCCGGTTTCTCCGGAAGAAACTATTTATTTCAAGTAAGTACAAAAAAAAATCTGGTTTAAACAAAATGTGAAATAAAACTATAACAAATAGCCAGATTTAAAAAGACAAGTCATAACGCAAGCAATTAAAATGTGGACAAAATATGAATAAAAATAAACAATCCACAGATAAAGTGTGTTTAAATCAGATAGGAACAGTTTAAAATCTGTTTTCTGGATAAATCTCAAACTTTAAGTTCAGTTGTAAAAAAAAATCCAGGACAATGCTGAATATCTGAAAGCAGTGTGTCCAAGAGTCTGTATGAGCGAGTCTTATAAGATCCAGATCACCCTGGAGGAGGTGAAACAGGTCATATGGTCAGCAGATTTTTACTGATAGAGAACAACCAATGACATTTCTCTCCCCACACAGAGAGAAGCCCACATTTTGATGTTGAGTGCAGTTGTGTGTGTGCTCCATAACAGGAGTCAGTTTTACATCTATTGAGATGATGCACTAAACAGTAGATGACATATAACCTAGCTCTAAGAGACAGATTGACTTCATGAGGTCACATCTCATGAAAGTTTGATGATTGCTTTGAAGGATATACTGTTTTTAGCTACAGAAGCAGTAACTTAAAGAAATAGTTTATCATTTTGCAAAGTATGTTTTAACTTTCTTACCCAGAGTTAATTGAGAAGGTCAAGACCATTCTAATGTCTGTATGCTAAATATGAAGCTACAGCCAGCAGCTGGTTAGCCTAGCTTATCCTAGATTAGCATAAAGACTGTAAGCAGGGGGAAAAGGCTAGCCTGGCTCTCTCTGCAAATAAACATATCCAGCAACTAGCACAGCTTAAGCTCACTATTAACTAGGGCTGTCAACGAATATTCTAAATTCGAATTTAAATTCGAATTTGAAAAAAAAAATGGACCTTCGAATGTGAAAATTGATATTCAATTGTGGAGAAAAAAAATTGCAGCGCACCGAAATTCTCGCGCGAGCCGGAGCACTTCCGTTTACATGAGACACACATTTCTCCACGCTGGTCGACAAGCGGTTCTGCTCCTAGCTGTTGTCTCCGTCACCCGGCTTGACACATTCACTCGTGGCTCACGCAGAAAATAGACCAGACGCCGATACGATCGCTGCAGGGCGCGAGCCGGCCACGGAGCTGCGTGGCGTGGCGCGGCGCAGCCGGTGTGGATGACACAATCTGTTAACATGGGCGGTGAAAGGAAACTGGCTTCACTTCGAGGCTATTCACAGTGCTTCCGTGGGCGGTGTGGCCTGATGGGTCAGAGAGGGGGGGCGAGCGAGAGGTCCGCGGCCGTTTACAACGTAATGTTATAGATAATTGTTTTATGTGTTTTAATGTGTAGGTATGTAAATGTTTTCAAAGACGTTTATGTTGAAATAAAATTATCTACAAGTAGTTATGTTTCCTTGTATTAATACATATACAAGTATGTTTCCTTGTATTAGTTTGCCCTCTTGTGGACATAATGCGAAAAGAAAAAAATTCGAATGGTTTGAACCTATGAGTTATTTTTTGAAGGAATATTCGAACGTCATTTTTGAGCAATTTTGACAGCCCTACTATTAACACATCATATCTTGTTTGTTTATTTTATACAAAATCTGAGGTGTAAAAGCAACTCCTGCTAACCTGGCAGTGATGGCAAGACTCCAGGAAGTCACTGTACCTGCCCAAGAGATAGTCAAGCGTGTAACACCCCTCAAATGTTGTCACTTTTGCACATTGTTTTTTGTATGTATTAAACACACAAGATGCAACATATTAGTTAGAGAGCTTTGGAGGTGTTGGAAGGCATTTTGAAATTTGGGTGGAGCCAGGCAAGCTGTAAGCTAGGCTAACCATCTCCTAGCTGGCTGTAGCTTAAAGGTATACTATGCAGAAATTGTTAGTTACCATTATAAATTCACTCGCCAGCAAAAGTGAAAGTAAAAGCGAACCCTAGATTCATTCTCAGTTTGAAATGGGCTTTGTCTGCATGGCGTTTTGCTTCACTATATTTGTGTTGTTTCGCCACCGTCCACAATTTTTGTAGCTTCCTTCTAGATGCCTGCTGATTATGGTCTGGCACCTGGTAGGCCCTGACCACACTTGTGCACTGTTATTGGCTGGGGGGCATACACCCAGAAACATCCCAGTGATAGCAGAGTATGAAAATAAGAAAATACAGGCAGAGGGGAGAGTTTCTGCAAATAAGTACAACACCACAGACTTACAGTGGGTCATAAGTGATGATTGAGAGGGATTGCTTTTGTATCAGTTTATACATTGTTTTTTTTTTTTGGGGGGGGGGGGGGGGATCTGCACAGTATACCTTTTTAATATTGAAAGGATAGATATGTTGGTGATATCTCAGCAAGAAAGTGAAAAAGTGTAAAAAAAAAACCAAACAAACAAAAAAACCCCAAAAACTAAACTATTCCTTTGACATTGGCCAAGCAGTCCATGTAAGCATAGATCTTTGAGGTTCTGATTGCTGTGTGTATATGATGATATCCTGTATCTCAGGTAACCTGGACAGACATGAGGAGATGGAGAAACTTGTGGCTAAGTTCTTGGGTGTGGAGTCAGCCATGGCATTTGGGATGGGTTTTGCAACCAACTCCATGAACATACCAGCACTGGCTGGCAAGGTAAGAGCGCAGGTGATCAGTGTTTTCTGGGCAGGGCTGCGATTTATTCTTGCAGCACACTGCAGCACCCTCCATTTCTTGCCTCCACTCTTTGGCTCGCTATTTGTTTCCTTGTCAGATTTCCTTGATGTTGTCACAGCACTTTGTTTCTTCTTTTCTTTCTCTCTCTGTCTGTCCTCTGTCACACTGTCACTCTCTGTACATTATGTGAATGTTAAGGTTGTGTTAGTGTATGCACTCGTGTATTTGCCATTGATGAAATATGTTTTCTGCCAGACACTTTTCTTTACAGAGTATATTTAGTTTTAACAAAACAGTTCCTCAACATCACACTATCACAGATCAACAGCAGCACCGAGAACACTGAGCCACAAACCCACTCTCTGGCCTCATATCAGGAGCAAACACTTCCTGTTGGCGTGGTGGCTGTCAGAGTGAAAATAACAGAGTTCAGAGCAGTCTGTTTTGTCACATTGCTGCTGGTGTTGTTTGGCAGGTAGCTACCTGACCACATAGTTTGTTTCCACTCTGTAACTTGTGAGAGGTAACCAACAGTGAAGAGGGTTGGACTGCAGCTTTAAATTCATTTGTTCTTGTGAAATGTTGCAAACTCATCGGTTAAAATGTACATTTTCAACATCACAGTGGTCACTCAACTACTTCCCTTAAATATCAATTTTATAAACACAAAACCATACTCCACCCACTCACCAGACCTACCAGCTGCTGGAAAATATGTTCTAAAGTGATTTGGAAGTCAGTAACACTATCTGCTGCCTCAGATGGATAAAAACAAATCAGATGTATGAATCATTTCTACATGTTAAAGTTTGTCTGGTGTCCTGCAGGGCTGCCTGATTCTGAGTGATGAACTTAACCACGCCTCTTTGGTCCTGGGAGCCAGACTCTCCGGGGCCACCATCAGAGTCTTCAAACACAACAGTGAGTCTCTGATCACAATAGATTCTCTTATAAGTATGTCTCCCACCGGCATCTATAGCTACAGTTATTTTCATTTCTATTTCTGTTTGTCAGTACCCCAGTCTATCTTCATTCTTTGCTTCTTTCTATAACTTTTATTTTTTTAATCATCACAGACATTGATGCGCTTTGAGCGATAATGATTTTCTTACTTCTTACTTCCATGTGCTGTATGTCACTGCTGAATGGTGATGTCATCATTTTGATTTACACAGTTTTAGACATACATTACAATGCACACACACTACTGGGAGGTTAGATCTGCATTCTATATTGCAGTCAGTTTTGTATCATAATTTGAGTACTGTAAAACCATTAAAGTCCCAATTAAATGCCCAGTCCCTTTTACTAGCCTGGTGGGGCTACAAATTTTGACAAATAAATGCCACTCTGATTGTATTTCCTGATCCTTACTGAGCAACAGTTTGTGTGAAAGGAATTAAAGGCCTGTCCCATAGACGCCTGCCCCACATATAGGCCTGTTGAGTTCAGTGATTTAAGCAAATAATAGCCCGGGCTATTAATTGAAGTTTTACGGTGTTCTGAACAGCCTAACCAACACAGATTGTTGTGTTACTTTAGAAGTCAGCCAACATGTTAAATAAAAAGTTAAGAAACCATATGTTTTTTCCTTTTTGTTTTTTGAGTGAGGCCACAGTCTTCTCTGAAAAGATATTTTGACACGCTACAATAGGAAAAGCACAGAGGTAAAATATAAAATGAATGATAGCTGCTTCAGTTTCCGGGTTCTGGTATTGTTCAGGCTGGCTCACTGTCATGGCTTACTGAGACACTTGAATAGAACAGAAGAATAGCTTTTGTTAATGTTATTAACACCCGTGCTTTATCTAATACATGTCAAATCTCAAAAAGTCATCACACAAGCTTCATTATTTCCACACAAAAACAGCTCTCTGTATATCAAACGCAGAGAAGAAGAGCTAGCTAGCTGTTTATGCATTCAGGTGGCTCAAAAATAGCTCTTCCTCTCATAGAACATGAGATACATGAAATATAATGTAATAGATTGGGTGTAATTTAAAAAAAAAGAAAAGAAGAAAAGCTATTAGATGTGCAATAGCCATAGCCATTAAGCTAACTAGCCACAGTATTTGTTCTGCAGCTGTCACATACACGCGCTGTTTGTTATAATTTTTTCACAGAAAATCTGGTTGGATTATTTGACGTCATGTTTAGCGAAAAATCCAGCTGGTTCATCTTTTGTTGTACAATAATGATAATGTTGACATAAAAAAGCTTGCATCTTAATGCTAATTACTTTGTGGGTATTATTAGCAGTGAAGGGTTTGCTACTAATCTTTAGCCATTAGCTACCAGCTAACTAGCCAAAACTCTTCAACTTGCCACTTAGAGCGTGTTACTCGTCTGTTTTTACTGGTGAGTTGGTTTGGTAACTTGTTGAATGTTGCTAATCTTTCCAGCTATTGCAACAAACAAACCAAATCCCCGAGTTAATTCAGAAGTATGTGAGCATGTGACTTGTTATAATTTTTTGCTAAAATGCAGGATTTCTGACCAGTACAGAACAGTCTACGGCTAATGTGCTAAAAACAAGAGCAACTTTGTTAAAGAATCTGACTTCATTTGATTATTATGTTTTTAATAAAAACTTTGTTTGTGGGTGTATTGAAACTGTGTTTAGGGGTGTCTCACTTTTTTCTAATGAATTCCCAGTAGACAAGTAAACAGCAAGTGGTTTTTGGCCACCACTGTTGTAACCACAAGTTTCATTTTGAGTGTTCTGTAACTCTTATTTTGTTCCTGTCAGATATGCAGAGCCTTGAGAAACTGCTGAGAGAGGCCATAGTCCACGGGCAGCCCAGGACTCACAGACCATGGAAGAAGATCCTCATTGTGGTAGAGGGCATTTACAGGTAGCATACCCATTTTTTCACAAAATAGATGTTTGAAAAAAAATATTTAGGCACTTTAAATGTTGTTGTAGAGAATGTCTTTATTCTTCTGACCTTCTGAGCTTTGTGTTTCGGGGTTATTCAAATGGTAAAGCATTGGTGCAAAACACAACAAAAGGGGTGTTACCAGTGCTGAGAGTGAGTCCAGGGACATCAGTGTTCACAGCATTCACTTTTATCAATGCTTAAAGTGTCATAGCCCTAAAGCAGTGCAACAATAGGCGTTACCACCTTGAAAACCTCCATGATTTCCTTCCTGGTTTCAACATCAACACTGACTAACAGCACACACAGTAGTTTCATCAGATCTTGTACACTGGTAGCTGATTTTTGCTTTAAGTTCTATACTTTTTGAGCTATTTCTCCGTATTAACTTAAAATTTGGGCAGAACATGTATGTTAGTAGGAGTCTTACACAAACACATGCAAAATACAGGCTTCCAGAAACAGCTCTTATCTTGTGTTGATGATTCATGTGGTTCCATTAGATTCAGCAGTAACAACACTCCTGGGACTGGATTGTTGGTTGCCAGAGCTGATTCAGTGCTTGGTTAGCTCTTACTGGTTGTACACACACTGAGCAACTTTGATGGGTTTCTTTATTCTGCCAGAAAGAAAGCTGCACTATATAGCAGTCTGCAGCTACAAAGTGCAGGCAAATTATTTGACATTGTTGCAGTATTTTAATGAGTTATATCTTTATATGTTAACATTAAATTTGAGACGTGCAGTTGTCATTAAGATCAAGTGTGTTAACAGTTGAAAGGTCCCAGCAGTGTCACTATGACCTTGAGTGGAGAACAGATGGTGAAGTACCAGGAAAATCTGAACACATCAGGACATTTACTTGACACTGGTGACATCTTCTACTTTGCCTTTTCCTCCCTGCAGCATGGAGGGCAGTGTAGTGCGCCTGCCAGAGGTGATTGCCCTGAAGAAGCGCTACCGGGCCTACCTTTACCTAGATGAGGCCCACAGCATAGGGGCCCTGGGGCCGAGAGGGAGAGGTGTGGTCGATTACTTTGGCCTAGACCCCTGTGATGTGGATGTCTTGATGGGCACATTTACCAAGAGCTTTGGTGCTGCAGGGGGATACATCGCAGGGAAAAGGGTGAGGATGGAGGATTATGGGTTTATTTTATTGCTGTTTCATTTTATTGTTGAAGGCAGGGTCAAAAAAAAGATGACTTGTAAGAGATAAAGGCGTGTAGAGTCACAAGACATGGATGCTTTTCCAGTTCAGTAACCCAGTGTTTTTACAAGCTAGGTAAACAAGGCTAAACAGCAGTCTTAATGAGAATGCTTTAGTTGTAAACAATATCTCAAGATCAGGGGTTAGTGTGTCAGGTGACAAAGTTTTAAGTGTAATATAATGAACATCTGTCATCTCTGTAATGTGGATTAACAGCCTTGCAGTGCATGAATGCTGCATTCTCGACATATTTGCCCTGTTTCCTGACATGGACTTATCAAAACAAAAGGCTGGGTTAAAAAAGAATCTTCAAGACATAAACAACTTTTTTGTCTCTGTGAAAGGCTGAAGAGATTGTGACACCCTGTCATCTTCGCCCACCACCTCCACTGCTTTCTCACAGAGACTTTTTTTCACTTTTAAAGAAAGCCAGCACTGAGGCTTGAATCACTAGTCTAGGAATGTGTCATCAAGTCACAGGATAAGCTTACAGAAAAGTGTTAATAACCTGCATGTCTTTCAAACGTTGTAACAAAATAGTTAAAAAGGGTGGTAGTTTAAAATCTTGTTGGAGCTTTTTTTTCATCAGAAGTACAATATATTTTTCTCAACTTTACTGCATATATGGCAGTTTGCATTGGACACAGAGACTGTTACATTCTTACAATCTGTGCAAAACAGCATATTCTCCATGATCTTTTGACATTTAAATGATTATAACCAACTTTTCTTGTTTGTTTTAATGCATATGCAGTGAATAAGGGGCATGCTCTTATTCTTCACACTAAAGCAGGCAGTAAATCTAAAGTAAGCCATTCCAAGCCTCGTTTACAAAGAGTCCTGAACTCTCCATGGTTGTAGAGATTGTAGAGTAATTAAAGCTTTACATGCACAAATACTTACATCTCCTGTGTATCTGCTGGGTTTAGGAGCTTATTGAGTACCTGCGCTCCCATTCCCACAGTGCGGTCTACGCCACCTCCATGTCTCCTCCTGTGGTGGAGCAAATCATCACTTCTATGAAGTGCATTATGGGAGAGGATGGCACAACAATAGGTGAGTGGTGCAACAATATTATTATTATTATTATTATTATTTTTATTTATTTAAAAAAAAAAAAAAATTAATATATACTAAAGGTAGAGTTTTTGACCTAGTGGTGCTAGTGAAGCAGTTTTTTTAATGGATGGGTCCTCATTAGGCCTGTTACCATGACTACTGTCATGACTGCATTTCAATGCAATATTCTGCTGGGAAACCTTTGGTCCTGGTATTCATGAGGTAGCCCCTTTACACACTTCACCTGCCTAATCATTGTTATAGACCAAGTACCCCTGCTCATTGCAACATTATCACCACAAAAACTGCTCAGGAATAGCCCAAGGAATGTGACAAGGAGCTCAAGGCATCGACCTAGCTTTCAAATTCCCCAGATCCAATCTGATCGAGCATGTGTGGGACAAACTGGAACCCCAGAGGTCTTTGTCCAGGCCAGAGCTAAGTCCTTTTGCGGTGGGGCATCTGCCCTGTCGAGGCATGGAGACAGGACCTCTGGGGGTGTGTTGCTGTCTGGCACCAAGGCGTTGTCGAAGGATACTTTGAGTCCTGTGGGTTGTGAGTTAAGGTACTGGCATGCCAATGGATGTTCAGTCGGATTGGGATCTGGGGAATTTGGAGGCCAGGTTGACACCTTGAGCTCTTTGTCACGTCCCCTGGGCCATTCCTGAGCAGTTTATGTGGTGTGGCATGGTTCATATCCTGCCTGGGGGGCGCACTGCAATCAGGGAGTGCCGTCGCCATGAGGGGGTGTATTGGTCTGTAATGTTGTTTGGGTGGGTGTTCAGTGTCAAGTGGCATCTACATGAATGTCAGGACCCAAAGTTTTCTAGAAGAACATTGCACTGTAAGAAAATGATCAATGTTACTCACTTCACCAGCCAGTGGTTTTAATATTTTGGCAGATCAGTGTATATTGTCCCAGAAATAACAGCAATAATCGATGCTATAGATAATGTCATCTTATGATAATTTAATAGCATAATAACGTGTTTGAGTCCTGATATCCCAGCCACAAGAACAATCCCCCTCATGTCCTCAGAAGTAATATTCTATAGCAGAATTGTTTTATTAAAACAGCATCAAAGGCTCAAGTGGTATCAAAGTAGCCTACAGCTCAAGCAGGACCCTTCCAAGGTTCATTTATTATGACATGTCAAAAGAGAGAGGAGCTCATGACAAGGTCAGACATTTTACACATGAAGCAGCCAACAGAGACTCTTAGTGAATATCATACATCAGGGGGCGTATTCACAAACATTCTGAGAATACTCTTAGAGAGCTTCTAACCTGGCCTAAAAACTTTAAGTAGGAGTCCTAGCCTAGGAGTGATTTAGGAAAGTTCTCAGAGCAACTCTGAACAAGGAAGCGACAGAAACTTTTATCTTACTTAGGGGGTGTGGTTGACCCAGTTGCTAGGTTTGATGCATTCTTTTAACAGATGTGATTGGTTGTCACAGACACACCCTTTTGTGAGCCTGTAAGGTATGGACACCCAGTGGCAATGAAATGAACTGCGTGACGACATGAGACTGAAAGTGTTGTCATTGTTGGTGTGATCACTCTGCTGATGGAAGGTTGAGACAGACAAAAGTCATCACTGCTGCACTGTTGTGATCATTTTATTTTTGGCGTTATGTGTGTATCCCCAATGAGATCAACCACTAATATTATCCCTGCACAATCTGATCTGTAGCATTTCAGTTACTCACTGTCATCCAGCATTTGGAGAATATTTCGCCAAGGTCTTTGTGTGTCCACCATTTTATCCTGATTAAGAAACTCATTAGCCTCTTAAAAGTCCTCCTTCCTGCTCCCACCATTTTTTGACCTTAGGACTTTTTTAAGGTCTAAGATGCTCTGTGAATAACTTTTATCTTTACAAGGACCTACTCTTAACTTTAAGGGGAAATTCTAAGAAAACATCACAGTTCTAAGAATTTCCTTAGAATTTTGTCACTAGGAGCAACTCTTAAGTACTAAGAAACTTTGTGAATACAGGCCCAGATACTTTCATAGCTTATCATTTAAAATAAACTGAGAGTGACAACCATCAGACTAGCGATGCCTCTGTCTGGTTTGTCAGAGTTGAGTGAATCTAATCGTAGCTGCTGTAATTTTCATCAGTTGCCACTGGATGTCAGTGCGCACTAATGAATCTATGAAAGACTCACATCACAGTGGTTCTTATCAAAGACCAGATATTCCAAAAAAACTGTTACAAAACGAACTAACTAAAATGAAATATACAGGAAATGTCTTTAGTTTATGTTTTTGTCAGTTTACTCGAATTTATTAACACAACATGCACAAAGAGAGAATTGATACACGTGTTTATTGAGACTGCGATGTGTGCTGTGTCTGTATTGTAATACCTATTCTGAACTTCTTAAATCTTACCTCTGACAAATACCGCCCATACACCGCATAAAGAATAAACTAAAGATAAACATTTTTAAACACTGAAACTAAACTCAAATGAGCAAACCCACTTTGAAAACTAATCTAAAATTAACCCAGTGAAAACAAAAATTTTAAACAAACTAATGAAAAATACAAAACTATAAAGAGAAGCAGTGAATGCTGAACTTAACACTTACATTCACACGCCCTGGTGGTTCCCCTAGTAGTGCACACTCACATAAAAACAGCTTTTGGCTTTTTTCCCCCTCTGAAGTGATAGCTGGAACATTTTAGAAAGAGGATATAGAAGTACAACTTGGTAATTATAACAATAATGTAGAATAGACAACAGTTTTAGGTTTGATTGAGTAAACAATGTAAAGCATCACTTGTATAACCACTTTCATTTTTAGTTCTACAAAGTATGCTCCATTTTGTAACTTAATTTATTTTTATTCCACATCTTGCTCAAATGTCTTTGGTTGTTAAGGTTGTTTTATTTTAATTTAATATTTTTACTTATTTAGGAATTTGCAGAAATGCCTTTTATTTTGAAAAAGATTTTTGTTCTTATTGTTATTTATGTATTTTTGCAAATAATAAGTTATTTCGAAAACAGTAGTACTGTACCTTTTTTTTGTATTTTCTTAGATTTAGTTTGTATGTTTGAGTTCAGAAATAAGCCTTAGGGCTGCTGTGAAACTGCACCTACATAGGGCAACAAAAAAAATTTGTCTTGGGTGTGTCTGTACAATAGGCAAACAAGGATAGCAGAGGAGACGCCTGCACACCAATGTAACTGGGTTGGAAAGCCACTTAAAGGTCCACAGGCTGAGATCAGCGCAAAAAAAGTCTATAATAGTCTGTTTATTTACTCTCTCTTTATCATTTTTTGCACTTTAAGCACCTTTTTTATGCACAGATATCTTAAAGAAAATATATTTACACTGATGGCAGCCTATGGACTTTTTTGTGGCGTTCTAGCCCAGTTACATTGGTGTGCAGGTATCTCCCCTGCTGTCCTTTCTTGAGTTGGGAAATCCACATTTCAAAGTTATCAGTAATCCATGTGTTTTCCCTGATAATCAAGTAAGTAGATCAGAGCTATTTAAATACAGATTCAGTTGGTCGGATATTAAAAGCAGTAAATATAGAAGGGCCAGACATTTTTAGCAGCCTTGTCCAAAACGTATACTAAAACAAAAAAACAAAAAGATGTATTTGATCATATGTCTGACCCAGGCACATCACAAAGTGCGGAAACAGACAAAAAAGAGGTATCAGTGCTATCAATACCATTATTACTATCAGCACCATTAGTGGCAATAACAATAACCAGTAACAGACTTTATCTCTCTCTACAAGTATCTCCCTCCCTCCTTCTCTCTCCCACACTTCAACTTATCTCATGACTTTTTCCATTGAGGTCAAAGAAAAGTGTGTAGGTAAAGACAAAGGGAGTGCTTTTAAACTTTTCAACTACAGCTCAGATATGTTTAAAAGCTACTAAACGCGGTCAGAATTGCATCACACATGAAAACATGAGAAAAAAGGTATGATTGGCGGTGTCGCTAAACCAATCCATCCATTCTACCTGAACAGTGCTATACATGTGTAACTCTACGAAGGTGAGAAGGAAGTGAGATGAAGGAACGAAGCTTGTCAGCTACTTCCAGACGCTATATGTTGTCATACAGGTATATCAAAGTTATGTATCCTGGGCTACTCGGAGATTGCTTCTGGGCCGGACATGGCCCACAGGCCACGAATTTAGTAAGCCTGAAGTAGACTCATTTGTTTATTATATCCTAAATCTCAATAATTGTCCACAGTCACTGCAATATGACCTTTTCTTCAAATCGTACAGCCCCAATAGGATCTCCCCTCCACTCCTCTATTATTGCATGGTTCGTTCAGATAAATCTTTGTTTGATAAGATTTGTCCTTTGTGCTATTTTTTAAAATCCAAAACTGTCATTTTTGTTGCTGGCAAAGACTCTATCAATTGTATGGTCAGAAAAACACACTCTGGACTTGTATGTCTTTGCAACATTCTGCGTGTAAAAGTTTTGTGACTAAAGTTGTGAGCAAACTAACAAAGTTTGTAGTCTTGAAAACGTAGCTTTTCAAACAAAGCAGTGAATCTCCTGATCGCCTGTGGGAGAAGGAAAACATTACAGAGAAACTAAAAACTTGATCTCCCCATGGTGCCTGGATGCTGTAACACTCAGATGTTTTCCCACAGTCATCTCATGAATGTGATTGTTTTCAGCTGCTTGTCAACCCTCTTTTTTTTCCTACTTTTCAAAGCATAATCAAGCTAGCTCTAAAGATCTTTTTTTCCAACCAGAGAGATGAAATCTGCAGAGAAAAATCATGTTGGAATCTGGCACTTTATAGACATTTCATTACAATCCAGTATTTCTTTCTGCATTTTTGTTTTTACTTTCAGTTGTAAATTGTACTGAATAAACATGAAGGACATTCAGTACAGCTCTGTGAGGTAACCAGTGTTTGGCACACTGCCGATCAACTAAATCATTAAAATTCATCCTTCGCAAAAATTTGATAGATGTGTGGTTACTTTTCTTTGCAACTGCTGTCAGCTCTCATGTTTCAAGATGTCTTCCTCTCATCCCAAGGCTGTGAACGTGTGCGACAGCTGGCAGAGAACACAGTCTATTTCCGCAAGAGGCTTCGAGAAATGGGCTTCATCATCTACGGCAACGAGGACTCACCTGTTGTACCCATGATGCTCTACATGCCCGCCAAGATAGGGTGAGCCCTGAGCTTTGAGTTGTATGGAAGCAAATAAGAGACAAAAGTATTCAAATTTTAACAGCTACTGAAACTTGATGTGTGTGTGTGTGTGTGTGTGTGTGTGTGTGAGAATTTGTTTAGAATCATAATCAGGAAAGGATTTGTTGCCAAGTATGTTTCACTTACAAGGAATTTGCTTTGTTCTTTTGTGTTTACATTAAAAGTACTATAACATAACAGTTATGTACAATATAGCTATTGTGTAATAAGCTGGTCTTGTTTGTTGCTTGTTTGTTCTAAATTCACCTATTAGGAATTGAAATATGATATTTCTTGATTAGCTATTTCAAAACCTGAATTTGAATTTTTGTAATTTTAAAGATTTTTGTTTATATTTTAGTAATTTATTCATTTGTTTTTTCGTTATTAATTCTTTATTTCAAGCAGACCATCAGTCAAATTCAAATTTCAGAAAAATTAAAGTGAACATTTTAAATGGCTTGCCATTGATTTCAATTTTCCAGCCCCCTTTTTTGGATCATATGACCGACAGACTGTGCTGTGATAGGCCAGAAGTCGGTTCGATTGCATCAAGGCTTCATTGCCTGTCCTGTCTTCGGAACCGCACATGTTGCTATTTGAAATTTTTCGACTTTAATTTTTAAATCTGAATATGATCAAATTTAAGCCAACCAAATCCTCTTTTTATTAATTTTTTTTATTTTTATCTTACTATATGATGAAGAAAACTCTGTGTGTGGGTGTGTCTGTGTGTCTGTTCCACGTTTTTCTCCTCACTGACTTGGTCAATCCATGTGAAATTTGGCACAGTGGTAGAGGGTCATGGGAGGATGCGATGAAGCAATATTACATCAATTGGCCAAAGGGGGGCACTATAGCAACTGATTGAAATTGCAAACTTTGAATGGGCATATCTCATGCCCCGTATGTCGTAGAGACATGAAGCTTTGCACAGAGATGCCTCTCCTCATGAGGAACAAATTTGCCTCAAGAACCCATAACTTCCGGTTCTACAGATTTTCCGCCATTTTGAATTTTTGGAAAACCACTTAAAATCGATCTCTTCCTAGGAAGTTTGACCGATCTGCATGAAACTCAGTGAACATAATCTAGGGACCAATATCTAAAGTTCCCTCTTGGCAAAAGTTGGAAAACTTACTAAAACTGAGCTTCTATAAGGCAATGAATATTGCGGAGGGCATGGCTCATCACATAAAGGTGTATAACATCTCAAGGGTTTCACCGATCACCACGCAACTTTGTAGGCATATGACCACACATAATCTGAGGGGACCCCTCCATTATTGACCCCATCAAACAAAATGGGGGAGCTAGAGAGCTAATTTCTTATCTTGGCCTAACCTCCATATGGATTTTTACTAAACTTGGTAGATATGTAGAACAGGACGCCTCAAGGTGACTGGAGAAATTTAACTCTAATTGGCAACTAGGTGGCGCTATAACAACAGAAAAATGCTTAAAAATGGCTAAAATGTGACCGATTGCTGTGGCTCCTCCTGTGGCCCAATGTTTGTTTGTTTTTCTGATTTTTGGTATGACTAAGTCATGGTATGGTATGCTGTACATAATCAGGGAAACTGTCAGTGTGTCACTCTGTCAGTCAGTCATTCTGTCTGTCCCATGTTTTTCTACTCACTGACGTGGTCAATCTATGTGAAACTGCACATGGGCATTGAGGATTGGCATAGGTAGAAGGTGACAAAGCTACCAATGGGTATGGACTAGTAGTTCTGATTCTTGAATTTTTGAATCTTAAATTATTAACATGGAAAAAAATAATTGAAATCCAGCTTTTGAAATAGCAAATCAAGAAACTAAGGAAATCAAGAAACAAAAAAATACTTGTTTTTCTAAGTCCCAATAAAATCTCAGTAAACTTAAGTCAGATGGCAGACTGTCCTTATACAACCTGTGTTGTTGCTCAATCCTATAAGTATGAATGTTCAAAACTAAATATCTTAAAGGGGCAGTTCACTCTAAAAAGGCAGACATCTCTACAGCCAATATCTTCAACATTCTCCAACTCACACGCAAACAATCCAGATTAATAAAGTGCATTACAGGCAAGAGGAATATATATTTTTCATTTTGGGGTGAACTATCCCTTTAACCCACAGTCCATTAGCTTATTCAAGAGCTTTTAACCACATTCATTTATCCATAAATATACCAACTACCCATATTCATCCAATCAGAGGAGTGCAACACTCAGGTTAATGCCTTTATGGCACCAGTATTGCATCCTCATGACATTTATGCTGTGTCTCCTCATCTTTGTCCCACCAGAGCGTTTGGCAGGGAGATGCTGAAGAGGAACATCGGGGTGGTGGTCGTTGGCTTCCCTGCTACACCGATCATCGAATCCCGGGCACGCTTCTGCATCTCAGCCGCCCACACAAAAGACGTGCTCGACAGGGTAACTAATTGCTCTTACTGCTGAGTAACATATGTTTAGACAGATGGGTAACCAAATTTGCCAATTAAACTGGCTTTTTACTTCTGTTCTGTTTGGGCAAAGAATTAGATCTTAATTTGAGAATATTATTAAAACAAAGGAATAGTTAACTGACAACACAAGCACTCAAAACATTTTTTTTTTTTGAAAACTGTCTTCAGGTCAAGATGGAACTTATCTGTTCATTTCCTAACCTGTCTGCAGTAAATTCTATTAACAGTCAATTTGTGGTTCTCTTTAGACAAAACAAACTCTACCACACTACTTTGCATTATTAAAACCTGTGAAATCATGGCAACTAAAAATACTTAGTTCTGATTGGTTGGCTGATGATCAATGAAGGATACCTCAAACATCACAGTTGTCTCTTATTGATAAAACAGGTGTTTCTTTAGTGTATTTTTTTTTTCACCTTTGATCTCCAGCTCCTACACACTCACCACCTTGTATTTGTGGTGCAAAACCTTCTTTGCTTTTCTTTTTTAAAAAAGGTATTTTTAGACCGCAGCACCTGTAGTGGCAAGCGTATTGATGTTGACTAGTCCTGTGTTGCCAGATCTCACTGGCTCACAGACCCTTCTCCTGTGTGGGCAGCGCTGAAGCCATAATTATTCAGCAAAAAACACACCGTGGGTTGTTAAAATGACTTTAATTTGTCAGAATTGTCAGACTACTGAACTCAGCTCACTGGGGCTTAGGGCTAAATACAGTTCCAGGGGGCTGTGTCTAATTACATGACTTGTACACACAGCACGTTTTATTCAAAGGTTTCCAGCATTTAGCTTGTTAGCTTGATTTGCAAGTTATTGTTGTTGAGTCCAGGAGGAAGAGAAAGATACAAATGCCAATATTCCACCATTGGCAGGCTTTTCTCATGGCACTGGCTGATACTAGCTGAGGCAGATTTTTGTTCTAAGTTATTCACTTTAAAAATACAACATGTACCTAGTCGATGTTATGACCTTCAGCTTGTTTGATACTAAGCCAAGAGATCATGTTGGCATAAAAGCATGAAAGGCAGTCTAATGGGCAGGAAACTATCTGTAGTTGGAAGGACACAGGTATGATCTTGTATGACCCCAAATGTCTACTTCTAGAGATGTCTTCAAGTCACTTAAGATACAGTGATTCCCTCCCAGCTCTGCGCCTGTGTCAGCTGGATCACCCTGCAGGTTAATGTACAGTATATTCCCCGTGTTTAGAGTTCAGGCCTCCACTCTGGCCATCCTATTTCCTCATTGTGAAGCTCTACGTCAGTGCAAGCTGCTCAGCTTTGATCGCTCTTGGCAGCACATCAAAAAGCCTCCCACTCCTCTCAATGAGGGCTCCTCTTCTAAAGCACTGAGCTCACAGCAGGCCTGCCTGCTCGTCCTCTTCCAGTCACTGTCTAAACTTCAGTCTGTCTCTTATTTTAACATAAATATAGATCATTTCACACAGTGGGTGAACCTTCTCCTGTCTAATTGGGGTGTCCTTGTGGCTCAGTTGGCCCAGATGCATACTGTGTCTCAAGGATGTGCTGAGGCTGTTAAGCGCTCGCATTCCTCTTCTTGCTTTTCAAAAAAAAAAAAAAAATACAACGAAATCAAATGAAGACAGGGAGTGGGAGTATTGTAGTGCTGTAGAGCTTTTATCTGTCATGATGTTAAAATCTCTCTTTGTTAGCCTTCCTCTCTGTACCATTCCCTTGTACTTTGATGTGTCATGTTGATTTGTGTTTCTCTTTTATCCCCTGGTGAGCTTTTGCAGTTTTGCCTTCTCATTCAAACACTCCCACACTTGTACACATAAACCTAAATTCTTTTACTTTTGTCCTTCTGAAGACCTTTTATTTCACTAACCACATTGATATCCAAACCGTGAAACTGACCTTATATGTGGCCAAAGGGGACTTATAAAATCATCAATCAGTCAATCAATCTGCATTGTTCAATACTTTTATATTAACAATGGATCCATTGAGTATATGTAAGGTGCAAGGAGTCACTAATCGAAATTAATGAAACCACACATGCTGATACCTGACTGCAGTTCCTCTCAGCTCTATGGAGCTTTTCAGCTAAGCCTGTTTTCCTGCTGTTTTGGCTCAGCCTCACTCTGAAAGCTCAACGGTCACAGACACGCCTATCCGACATCAATGAACTAGTAGCAACAAAGGCCAACTGTTGCATTGCCTCACATCGCCTGTGTCTTGGCTAAGAAGTTGCTGTTGAATACACCACAAAGACCACAGCCGACAGCCAGCTAGCATGTATGTTCTGTGCCCTGCGTGAGAGGAAGTAACACTCCATAGCAGCAGGTGGTGGTGTGTGCTCGTCCTTGAAAAAGGGAACCCAGTGGACCAACAGGACGGATTCAAGATGCTAGCTAGCCAGTTAGCTCATCAACAACACAACCCGATATTAAAAGAACAAAGGGTTTTTACTGTGTGCACAGTAACATAAAAAAATTACAAACTGTTTCTGCTAAAAAGCTCAATGGCTAAAAAAATGTTATCTTACCTAACATAATAAGTTTTTTTCGATCTCACGCCATTTTCAGTTGTTTGTTTGCTTTCCTCACTGTGTTGTGCACTGAGTTGAACTGCCAATCAGAGTGATAACTCTCACCACCCGGCTCCACCCAGTGTGACACTGATTTAATACGCTGAATCAGCCACGAAACTGCTGAAATGGGCCGAATAGTGCCACCTAAAATCCAACACTACCTGTCCAAAACCAAATAGCAAATACACAGTGAGCGACTAATGAGCACACTTGGCGCCAAAAGGAGAGTTAATATCGAACCAAATGTTTGTGAGGTGGCCAGAAGAACAACTCCAAATGAATAATAGACCCCTGTATACACCTTGCATAAAAATGCACCTCTCATTCAGATTGTTTCTAGATGTGATATAGAGCTGTTTCTCTCCAGTGCGATACAAAAATCCTGGAATATGGAAAATCTGTGTGCAAATTTTGCATATATATTAATTATGGACACCGGGGCCAGTGGGAATTATCTGCATTGCCATGTTGCATTATTGTCCAAAAAATGAATACTGAATGAGGCCCAGTGAGTTTCCTACTTAATGGTGTCCGTGTCCACTCCACACAACAAAACCCTGTCCAGATAGAGAATGTCTAAGGGGCTAACATTAACAAAACAATACATCAACCAATCTATACTAGCTAAACATTAGCTTTTGTGGCTAGCCGCTTTTGGTAATCAACATATGATGTTAGCAAGTGCATATAAGCTATATTACTGTGTTCACTGTATCCCAGTTGATGGGCCATTTCAAGCCTTATCCTGTCTATATTTGGTTGTTTAGGTTGTTGTCCCGTTGTTTGTCGCAAAATAGTGGGTGATGCGGAATTACATTGATGAGATGTTTCCCCATTTTGGCAGCAAGCTAGCTGACCTGTAGGTATAATCAGTTGGAACAAAGGATTTTATTGGCCAAATGTATATTTATGCTGAAACCAAGGTCCCTCCGAACACCCCCACCCCACAAATTTTCTACAGGGGTGTGAACGTTTTCATAAGAACCCAGGCAATCCGTTTTTATAAATTTCTATGCAAATTTTCCTGACAAAAATCAGTACTTGGTGTGAAATGGCTGCCTTGAATATCCAACTTTCTTGCTAGTAGCTTAGCTTGCTAACTAGCTAACTGCTGCTATCTTGCTGGTTTGGAACACACACACTGAATTACATGTCTCCACTCATGTTGTTGTATGTTGACTGAAAATGCAATTGTGTTTACACTTGTGTTCAGTGTGGTTACAATGCGTCCCTGATCACCTCTTGAGGAGGTTTAGCTGATTAGATCACAATCCGTCCTCGGTGCCCTTTGGGTGCATTTACACCTGTGCTCTCATGGGATCAAGCACTATCTAGTTGCAATCTGATCCCCTAAAACGCATTTGAATCCAAGGTGTAAAGGGGGTCGTAATGTTGCTTCAACTCAGCAGTTGTAGGTTAAAATGTTATCGGTATTGTTACCCAAAGAAATGTGCAGTCAAATTTTTAGTTGCCAGAAACAACAATCATTCGCAGCAAGGGGTTTTCTACATTAATACACACTCAGCCCAGACAAACCTGGGAGTCAGCAGAACAGGTTTTTGTGTTTGTGTGTTTTATATAAACACCATAACCAAGTCAGAGCACATTGTGGTCATGTTGTTATTTATTGTCATTTGTTATTAGATTATTTAATATATGAGTGTTTGAAATTTAGAAAGTTTTAATTACATGACTTTGAAATGTTGCACTTTTAAGACTGAATAGCTTGTTTTTGCATGAAGAGTTTCAGCCAGAAAGAACATTTTCTGCTGTTTAGATGACAAATCTTTATAACGTTTTCGCCTCCTGTGCCGTAACAAGGTGTCCTACTGGTGCTTCACCTCACACACCTCATTCCAAAGTAATAGGAATGAAAAATTGAAAAGATTGGGTCATCTGCAGCATTAAAGTCAGCGGTGTTTTCTGTTTCAGCCCAAGTTAGTGATTTAAGGTTGTGACTGGTGTGTTTTTCCATAAAAATCTTGCTCTGTGCAGCTTTAAATTTCCTCCAGCCACATATTGCCCTTCTTGGTGACAGCTTTTTTATTGTCTAAATGTCTCCACAGGCGCTGAGTGTCATCAATGAGGTGGGAGACCTTCTTCAGCTCAAGTACTCCCGACACAAAATACAGCCATCTTTGGTGCGACCCTTTGACGATAATGTGTATGAGGACATTGATGACTGATGAACCATTCCTCTCCATAAAGTGGGGTGAACCACAACAACCCCCCCAAAATACAGAACGGGTCAAGATGGATCACAAGTCTTCCACAAGGACCGCGATGTGCACAGGTGCCCCTTGTCACTAGCTTGCCATAATGTAACCCCCCCCCCAACAAAAGGAAAACACTTAAAACTGTCATCTAATTCTACTTTGCCTTACATAAACATGCAGAACTTGTGGTGCACACACTGAAAAACAGCACTTCGGCTTTTTCCTGTGTATTTTTTTATTACTTTTTATCGTTTTGTGTCAAAAAATTTTATTTCTATCTGTGTGTGTGTCTGCAGTGCTTGTAGTATTTGTCATGTTAAGCCTTGTGGTTGTGTATGTGAAGTGGACAAACGCCAACTTTCCAAATGTCTCTTCAACAGTGAACTGCTGGGATTTTTTCATAATATGGATCTAAAGTGAACTTTAATGGGGTAAAGTTAGATTCATCAAAACATCAATCAAGCGGCATGTTCTTTCATCCAGTACCAGTTGTCATAGGCCGAAAGTGGAGAGCACTGGATGTTGCAATGTTTGAACATGCAAGTGACCCGATTTCATCCCTGTCAGTCTATTACAAGATATAGCACCAAGTGAAATGGGATTGTGTTATTATTGATCCAGATCTGGACTGCCATTGGACAATTTTAACATTATACTATTCATGTGCTGATGGGAGAACCCCAACATCCACTTGGCATTGTTTAGAGACTTTAGAGACTTCTGTGGTGGTGGTGGTGGTGGTGGTGGTGGTGGTGGTGCACACTCTACTAGGGAACTTGTAGTTTTGTTGAAAGTAGTTTTGTAAGGTAAAACAGAACTCAAACTTTTCCCCATTTCATTGTAGGGAATAAGACGAGTCTTAAAACCCAGAGGCCGTACTGCTCCTGGAACCTGACTTCACCACGCATTTTTGATCACGTTACATCATTGTCATTCCATCCTTGGTTCTCCTAGACCAGGGGTCGGCAACCTTTACGATCAGAAGAGACATGTTCTACCAAAAATGATTTAAAAAAATCTATCTGGAGCGGCAAAAAAATATTAAGCCTGATAATGAAGGTATTGCAGCATATAAAATCTAAACTAGCCTGTCAACATTACAAATAGATCCGATTGAGCATTCATTAATATGTTTTACCACTAGATGACACTGCAGTGGGCTATTTTTGATTATTTGGAACTTGAATTCTGCAGAGTTGGCAGTGAAAGCAAATGAGGCTTTCCATGCACTATATTATTCTCTCTTCTCCTCAGAGACTTTTACTTTTTTTGGATTTCGAACCCATAGTTAGCCAAGCTAGGGAGATTTAAGACTAGCCACCGCTCCTGATGTTTGGCAAAATTTGGAGGAAAAGGCGCCAGGCCATAGATGTTTGAAGCAGAGTTGGCAGTTACAGCAAACAAATCTCTTCACATATAAATAAATTCTATTTTCTTCAGAAACTTTTCTCTTTTTGGATTTGAAATCTGTAGCTAGCCAAGCTCGGGAGACTCAGGACTATCGTAGACACCGCTATTGACGTTTGGCAAAATGTAGAGGAACCATGGCCCAGACGCTGGGCTGACGTCGACTGATGCATAATTTAGTTGCAGAAATGTAAAAACGTTTTTTTTATTTGGTGTATTGGCTACTCATTTTTACAGTTGAAGAATGTCAGAATCACTTAGGGCCTACAGCACTGATAAATGTAATTCAAATTGTTAAAAAATAAGTGTTATTTATTTCCATATGATTTTTTAAAAAATTTTGTTAAAACCAAAGGGAGCCACTGAAGAGGCGCTAAAGAGCGGCATGCGGCTGCAGTGCCTCAGGTTGCTTACCCCTGTTCTAGACAGACAAAAAATATAGAACCTCAGAGTTAAAGGAATACCTCACCCACAAAATGGCCATTTGTGTATCAATTACTCATCCTGTGTTAAGTTGAATTTGTTTGTCTCACATGCCTCCACGGTGAAGGAAGAATCCAAAAACAAAGAACATTCTTGATGAATTGAAGTCATAGGGGTCCATATTTGAAAACGGCAAATCTATATCAAAACATCTGTTCATAAACTCACAACTCCTGCAGTATAATCCCAGTCTCATTAGTCCAGTAAGATGTTAAGTTCTTCTAATGCATTTTCTCTGTAATCTATTTAAAGCACTTGCACATAAACAGTCTCACACGGATGAGTCGTGGGCCTGGGAAATTCCATTGAATGCATAAGCAGAGTTAGAACGCACGCACTTGCCCAGGTGTGCCATTCGTCTGTGCATGAGACTGTTTGTTTATGCAAAAGTGTTTTAGAGAATATGGTTTTAGCAAAACTGCATGTGTGTGGAAAGTAATGAGCATACAACTGGATAAATGAGACTTGGATTATACTGTGGGTTTGTAAACAGATGTGTTGATATAATTTTGCTGTTGTTAAACATGACCCCCTCTGACTTCAGTTCATCAAAAAATTTCTCTAATTTTGGATTATTCATTCACCGCGAAGGCATACATGAAAAATGTAAAGTATTCCTTTAAGCATATCACTTCCATCAGTAGTGGTGCTGATAGTATCAGAAGATTGCTATCTATCAGAGGATGTTGAACAGCAGACACTGCAATGACTTGTAAAGAAACTGTTGGACATTTATGGAAATATGCTTATTTGTTTTTTTTGCCCTCAGCAGTTAGATGAAAAGATCAATACCACTCTCATGGCCATTTGGTAAATATAGAGCAATAGCCAACAGACCCTTGGTTACTAGCCCAAAGAGAAATAGTCCCAGTCCGTAACTCCCCATAAAACCACAAATTGTTGTTTTTGCATTCTGGTTTTTGCACCAATTTTACACAGATGCCTTCCCCTGTTTCCAGTCTTTATGCTAAGCTAATAACCTGCTGGTTCCTGCTTCAAATGCATCATACAGACACAAGAACAGTATCTATTTTATCTAAATTTAAAACAAACCATATAATGTCACTTCCTGATATGTGGAACTGTTCCTTTAATTCCGGACCAGTTGGGATTAAATATCAAATACTTGCTATAGAAAGTCAATAAAAATGAACTCTGAATAATTAGCGTTAAAAGCCATGAAAACAAAAAGTCCTGAACTATAGCTTGAGAATTTTATTTACCCAACCTAACACCAGCTCTGGGTCAGTGTGACAGTGCCAAAATGTAAATGAATCTAAAGTACTAGTGGGCATGTCATTAACCATGTTATCATATTGCGCCTGCACACAGAGGACAAACCTTATGCTGCATAGCTCCAACAATCACCAACTGTAAGTGGCATTAGCAAAATCTATCAAAATCAGCAAGCATATCTGCATCCAATCCAAATACGACAGCTAATTAGTCCGTCTTTTGTTCTGTAAGCAAATTATCAGTGGTTGAATTAAAAAAAGCAGCTTGACTAATTAAAATACCAGCTTTCATTAATGCTAATTGAAGAAAGCAACATAATGAAAAGAACTCCAAATATCAAGGGAATTTAAACCATTATTGTCTGTTACACATGGATTTGGCTGGCCTCTTGTTCCCACAGCTGTGTTACATGTCAGCATCACTGGCATCCTTCAGTGTGATTGCATGTTTTGTTTTGTTTTTTACTTGACCAACTCTTGGTGTTATTTATACAGTTAACCGTATGACAGATAACCTCAAACATCAAGTTTAACATGACTCAAAGAGTTGTGATTGTCAAAATAGTCTTTCTATTCAAAGGCCAATATCTGCCCCATATAAAGTCCAGTCAGCCCAGTTGCCAGAAGAAAATGTTGGCATTGTGTGTTTCTTCAAACAATGAATACGTTACATTTCCACATTTCATACGTGTCATATCGTTTCTAAAGTGAGTTAAAATACTAGCCAACTGTCACTTGGAGGTGGAAGAGATGGTGGATGGGCATCACCTAGACGAGATACCTGTCAGGCTGTCGACCACTGTTCAAGACTGACAAAAAACAAAACTGGCTATTTTTTTTAGCCAGTCATTGCTGTATTTCCAGCTGCATTTTGGGCACCAACTGTGGAACCTGTCTTTGTTTCCTGTGGCTTTTCAGCCCTGAAACACTGGGCTGTTTTGCAACCCATTACTATGTTTCCTGCGGCTTTTCAGCCCCCACATGTGGGTGTTTTTTGGAGACCAATCCATGCGTTTCCTGACGCTTTTTAGCCCTGAAATGTGGTTGTTTTTTGGAGATCTGTAGCTGCGTTTTAAGCGGCTTTTCAGCTCTAAAATGTGGGTGTTTTGTAGAGACCATTGCTGTGTTTCCAGCAGCTTTTCAGCCCCCAGACAAGGGTGTTTGGTAGGGAGCTGTTGCCATGTTTCCTGAAGCTTTTCAGCCCTCAAACATGCCTGTTCTGAAAGGACCTGTCTGTGTTTTCTGAGGCTTTTTAACCTTAAAATATAGGTGTTTTGTAGAGACCTTTTGTTGTGTTTCCAGCAGCGTTTCAGCCCCCAAATGTGGTTTTCTTTTTAAGGGACCCATTGCTGTGTTTCAGGCGCCTTTGAGTCCCCAAACAAGGGTGTTTGGTAGGGACCGTTTCCTTAAGCTTTTCAACCCTCAAACATGACTGTTTTGAAGGGACCTGTCGACATGTCTCCTGCAGCTTTTCAGCTACAAAATTTGGGAATTTTTGGAGACCAGTCCATGTGTTTCCTGAGGGTTTTTAAAGCTCTAAAAATATGGGTGTTTTGTAGGGACCTATTGCTGTGTTTCCTGCTGCTTTTCAGCCACCAAAACTGGGTGATTTTAGGGACTTGGCGATGTGTTTCATACAGCATCCCCAACATGGGAGTTTTGGCAACCTGACCCTTTTTTTTTCTAGTGGGGATAGTGCCACAAACAGCAGTTGGTGATATTTTAAGCCCAAACATGATCTTTTCCTGTACATAACCAAGTGGTTTTTGTTTCTAAACTACCACAGTGCTATTGAAACATAAAGTTTCAACATATCCGCTACATAATAACGTGCAAGTGTAACGTAAATCTGTGGTTTGCAGAAACGTGCAATGCCAACATTTTTTTCTAACAGTTGGGTTTGTCCAGTTCATCGGTGTCAGAGCTCCAGTTTAAAGCTGAAGTCTCGAGGGTCAGTTGGTCACTCCATGCAGTGCAAAAAGTGGAACATATTTTTTAGATACTTATGTCTTTTAGGCAAGACAGAAGAACATCTAAACTATTAGGACTAGTCTGGATGTAATTCAGTGCTGGTTGTAATATCCTACATTTCCACCCCATCTCTTGGGTGCTTATCAGTAAAAGCCTCATTGCTCTACGTCTGATAATGTTTTAATGCTTTGTATGACAAAGTGCTATCTTTGTGCTGTGATTTTAAAGTCATTAATATTTTCAATCAGTGTGTGACTGGGGTTGGGTGTCCGTGCTTGCTTGCTTGCATGGTTTTGGGTATCGATGTGGGTGTGTTTGTTACTGCACTTTAACCTTGCTTTTCTACACCTGTCTTTTGAACTCTTGGTTTATCTTTACATTGTGCTACTGAGCTTTGGGACGACAACACTCCTAAATGAAGGCAGCTGTAAAAAGAAATCCCACATGCATACATTCCCACCTGCATGTATGCACACTGACAAGTATTGTGTAACCACTCGTTCCTCATACTAATGCATGTACAGTAAGAATTAGTCGCTGCTCTGCACCACAGCCAGTGGCGCTCGATGAAATACACTGTTCTGCTCGGTGTGACTTTTTTGAATGTTGTCATAAAAAAATCCACTTCATTCCAGAGGAGTTAACATGTCTGTGTGGGCTCTAGGGAGGATCTTTTTTTTCTTCCGTATTCCTGTTTATCTGTTACTGTAAATGAGAGATGTTTATGTTATTTACTTTCCTTACTATAGAAAAAGTATCAAAACCTAAATCTTGGAATAGCAAATGATTGTCTGTGAGCTGAAAGCTAAGAGTTACAATGTTACTCATATAGATGCAGAATGTTTTCTTTTTTACATATTTTAAAGTTTGCACACAGGAGAGTCATCAACTGATACTAAAAGCAGGCATTTAGAGCATATTTTAATATAAAAATAGACTTATATAAAACTCTGAGACCTCATGGCCTGACGTCTTAACGATGCTATTCTTAATCTAAATTAGATCTCTACAGAACCTTCACAACGATTGGTTCTTGATAAACAGTAACCAGATGTAATCATTTGGTCCTGAGTGTGAATACTTCAATATGTTCCCATAATGATCTGAACTATTAAACCGATACAAAGGCAGGAAAAGCTTCATGCCTCTTTTACGGTCTTTGAGCTTTGCTGGTGTAAGATGGAAGATGGTCCTGATATTTTGTACAAAGTTTATATTGTTTCATTGAAAAGGAGCTATTCAGAATATTTTGTTTACTATAGAGTGACCTGGGAACGATGGTTATCACTATTACTGGCAGCTTTAGTTGAGAGCGCTCAAGTATGCCATCAATAGAGGAAATCATTTTAATGGGTGAGTGCAAGTTACCACACGTCAGAGATAATTATTTTCTGATATAGTGCCTTTTGAAGCAAATGATTTTCTAAGAATTCTGATTATAGTAAGCGTTATGACTTGGATTGTTCATCTTTTATGGTCTTATTTGACTTCTTTTACTACTTTGTCTTCAACAATACTTATTATTAGCACTGGATGTGTTCTCTGTTGACTAATTGCCATGCATTTGATCATAGAAAATGCACTATTTGCAACATATCAGCAAATTATTAATATGTAAAGTGTCACCCATGTCAATGATATCAGTAGATCATTAAAACAATATAAACAAAGCTGTTTTGGATTGTCTTCAATTTTGTTAAGACTCATCTTTCATTGCCTGATATTAGACAGAATTGTCAACTCATTACACTCCGTTTCGATCTTCAGTCTGACATTGCGTCCACTCTAACTGATTCCAGAGGGGGAGAGGAATTTGGTTTTTCCTGACCAATCACTTGAGACCAACATATCCACCTGAATCTATTTTTATTTTAAGTCCACACTGATGCATAGCCATGTCAAGATACTTGCTTTGCCAGTTTTGTTTTGTTTTTTTTTTGTTTTTTCAAAAAAGCAGAGCGAAGTAAAACAACCTATGACCTTAAGAAGACATGTCGATTTAGAACAGCCGTAGTAACAGCATCTATCTCAGGGGCGTGAAACATGAGGCCCACGGGCCAGAACCGGCTCATCAAAGGATCCAATCCAGCCCACTGGATGACTTTGCACACCTAATTTAAATGAATAAGGAGAGCTAAGAGGTGCAGTCAGTAGCCAACTTCATATAAGATGCACCTGACCAGACTACAGTTCTCTAAAACAACAATAAATACTTACTGTGGTCATATCTTACTATATAATGACGAAAACTCTGTGTGTCTGTGTGTCTGTTTCACGTTTTTCTCCTCACTGACTTGGTCAATCCATGTGAAATTTGGCACAGTGGTAGAGGGTCATGGGACGATGCGAATGAAGCAATATTACATCAATTGGCCAAAGGGGGGCGCTATAGCAACCGATTGAAATTGCAAACTTTGAATGGGCATATCTCATGCCCCGTATGTTGTAGAGACATGAAACTTTGCACAGAGATGCCTCTCCTCATGAGGAACAAAT